GCAATCCTTAGATACAGGCTATTCTTAAATCGATGGAGGGAAGCCCACGTTATCATGATTCTGAAGCCAGAAAAGAATACCATGTTTCCGCAAAACTGCAGGCGGATAAGCTGAAACATACGAAATGGGACTAATCCCAGAAGCTCAGTTCGGATTAAGAACACTCTAGCGAATTAAAAGTACTTAGACTGGCAGAATACACAACAGCTGGATTTAACGTCAAACAGTACATAGGAGCAGCGTTCCTCGATGTAAGCAAAGCCTTAAACAGAGTCTGGCATAAAGGCCTAATATAGAAAATAAGAGCAATCGAAGCTTTAGGCTACGAATAGCACAAGTACTATCTGGAGTGTTAAAGGGAGCAGTCTTGTCGCCCCTATTGTACAGAATATACACCGCAGATGTTTCAGGAACACTAAGAACACTACTATGCCTTTATGCAGAGGACACAGCGATTGCTGCCAAACTATAGAGAGTATTGGATATTATTGAAGAATGTTGTATTCAATGGAAAATAGCACTAATTTTAGAGAAGACACAAGCAATTATATTTAAAAAGAAAAGAGAAACCCCAGAGGAACAGCTGTTAGTGTAAGATAATCTTATCGAATGGAAAAGAGAAGCGAAATACCTAGGAGTCACTATGGACCAAAGCTTAACCTTCACGCAAGCCGTGGACACAACCATTCAGAAAACAGTAATGGCCAGAGCAGCAATAAGAGGACTAGGTAGAAAAACAAAAGTGCTTATAAAGACGAAAATGAGACTAATAAACAGCATCATACTTCCAATAATCAGATATGCATCTCTCGCATGGGGATACATGAACAATTCAAATAAAAACAAAATACAAGCAGCCCACAATAATACCCTCAGAGAAGCAGCAAATGTACCCAGATACATCGCTGAATGCTTTCTCTATGGAGAACTGCAACAAGTAAGGATAATAGATAAACTGGCAGAAAAAGTCAAAATTAGATTTACAGAATTAGAGAATCACAAAACAAAACCCCAAAACCTGGGCACGAAGGGCCCACATCCTCGGACACTGAATCACCGAACTGGGTGCAGTCCGAAGCGGAGACTCGAGGCCCGATATCGTGTTGGAGTTCTTGTACCCAGGGCTTCAACACGAAAAACATTTGGCTGATAGAGAGTACTATGGAAGGAAAAGAGTGGTTCCTGGTAACACGAATCAATACTCCTCACTCAAATGAATTGTATCATCCGAATGTCATTCTAAGGGTTGTGCAAGTCTCTCAGACTGAATTAAACAAATTGATTGAGCTTGACCTGCTAATTCACTGTAAACTTATTTGTTTATATTTTGGTCCATAATCCAACCAGTTTTACTATAATTCATTTATTGAAAACTTTTCGCTTTATACTTTTTTATAGTATCATCAGTTTAAAAGTGTCTCATTAGTCTATTGTCTAATTCGTTGCTTCGTGGACGGTCGGTGAGATTGAGCGATTATATAAGGGAATTAAATTTAGAAAATATGGGTTTTTGCACTAATTTGTTCGATATTCAACATTTTGTATATGCTAGACCATTTTTTTTAAATATTTGTTAAATATGGGATATACAGTGTTTATTATATGTTGTAAATGATAAGAGAATGATTTGTTAGGCTCAAATTATCAGATATCATCTATCAGATATGATATATCAGAGATTATGATTTTCTATATTTGATAGTAATTGTTGCCCGTTTCCAATTTTTGCGTTGAGGTCACCATAAATAATTTTGGTGTGTCATTCTTTGGACACGTATGGTATGCAGTTTCTAATTTAACAAAAACTGTTTCTTAGTATTCTCCTTTATTTTCGTTGAAACATGTTCATTTAAGAGACTATAAAGAAAATTCCTTTTAGTCTCAGGATACACATTCTGGGGTTCTTTGCACGAAAGCCTCTTATAAGATGTTTGATTTTTTTTACTATGAAACCAGCGCCTAGTGGCTGGTTTTTAGCATCACAGCTCTAGAATATTATTTATAATTTCTTGCAAAGCTGTTATATCTGATTTATACTTCTAATCTAATTTATCGAGTAAATTTTCATGAGCTCCTCTCTTAACAGCTTTTTTTTATAGAAGAGCGTTGCTAGCTCTAAGACCACCTGTGTTAAAAATTTTATATATAAATTATATAAACAACTGGTTATTATATATTTTTATACAAGACAGTGGCATTATGTATATTATTTAGATTATATTCACTTAGCCTAACCAAATAAAGCCTAACATTTAAATAAAAATGGTATCTCAAAGAAACATCCAATAATTGTTTAAATCGTTGGAGGATGCCCGAAAGGCATAATTACATATAAGAAATGTGTAGATAATCAAAATAAAACGGCAAGTTTGTTATTTAATATGGATATTTATGTAGGTAGAGGCCTTAAACAAATTTTGAATGAGAAGGAAAGCATTGGAATTTTTGGACTTAAAAATCTATATCAACACCAAACACAACTGTAAAAACACTTAGAAAAAGCACATCTGAATTAGAAAAAAAAAAAATAGAATTGACAGAGTAAGTTATCATAATAAACGATTAGAAAGAGAAAATTTTAACAAATCAAAATAAGAAAAGATTTAATCGAAAAAAGAAACAGTATATTTTGAGCAAAAATTAATCTAATGGAATAAAAAAAATATTTTAAATCAATCAAAAAGGTTGACAATCAACAACTAAAATAAGAATTTTTGCTAGTACTCCTTAATGCGCAGGTCATTCCAAACGGTAATAGGTTTTGTCCGCGTACTGGAATGAAAATTTGTTCCGAAACCGTACATTAAACGATCACAAGTTGAGTTGGAATGCCAAAGGGACGGTATGATGAACGGTCCATTGTCTGGACGAGTTGGAACAGACCTCTCACATCATCTCACTAAAGTCAACAAAACACTCACCTACGTCTAATGGATCTAGGATAGGTAGACCAAACATATATTTAAGGTATTGCCGACGTCATTGTTCCATGAATATTCAGTAGCCAGTTCAAGTTCTTGAATTTTTTTCCACTCCACTATGGAAACACTTCACTTACAGCTGAACTTGTCGCTTTTTTGAAATCGGCATACACAATCTTGAAACTAAAATTTAGGTTCAATTTTTGACACTCCGTCTTTAAACAATTTAAGGCAGTCACATATGAGTATGCTAATTTGAAAGCAAAAAGAATGCCAACGGAACTTAGTGGCCATTTTCGAGTCCGTGAACTGCAAATAGTTGAGTAAAAAATATTGTGCAGTATTTAAAAGTTCCATCAATATAAATTGCTTCGAATTTACTCAAGTTAATTTTAAGTAACAATAAAAAGAAAGACATTTTTGTACTGGATCATTTTTTAATAAAAATTGTTTTTTTATTAGTTGTGACTTGTTTGATTAGGAGTTTAAGAGTCATGTGTTTCCTACACTTTCTTTGAAATTTTGGGAATAACTAACTAATCAAATGTACATCTTCAGTAAGTATTTCAGTGCCAGTTCGTTGAATTTCCTTGTGTATCAACTTCACTGGTTTTTCGCACAAATCGTTCATTGCCTTCCGCTTCAATATTACTTAATTTTTGCCGGTTTAACAATGTTTTTGATAAACATTCATGTTGTGGTTATCACTACATTCAACTACCTTTTACAAATATTTAGAGTTTTAACAAATGTTTTGCAACTTTTTTCTTAGTAAAATGAGCACTAACTCTTGTATGAAATGTATAACTAAGTATGAAATATTTGGCCTGAATTAAAAAGACGTACTTACTTTACTTTATCGTGTACGGACATGTCATTCATAAAATTTCGGCAAAGTATCGGGCTACGTCGGTTCCATCTTTGTTGGCGAGCCACAAATCTTCAAGGGTACATCGATGAGGACAGTTTCTGCATGTAAGAAGATGTTCCATATTCTGTGTTTCTCCACAGCCACAGTTCACATCATCTTGGTCCATTTTTCCTCATTTTGCCATGTTTGATTTTACTGTAGCAACCCCCGTTCTTATCCTATTCAAGGTTTTCCACGTTTTAAAGTCTAGGGTCTGGCCGGTCCATTGAACCTGGGGAAGTGGAAAATACTCAGGCGGTTCATCCTGCATTGTTCCAAGGAAGCTTTTCCTAGATTTTAGTCGCTTTCGTGGTGTTCGAGCTTTGTATAGGGCATGCCGATCGTCCGCGATCTGTTTAATTTTCTCTATATGTTCTGCAGCGCCTCTGCGTGTTGAGGGTTCTGCAAAACCCGCTGCTCTATATAGATTTGAAAGTGACGTTGGTTTCATGCACCCCGTTACTATCCTGCACGTCTCATTTAGCGCAGTATCAACTTGTTTGGTGTGGGCAGATCTGCTCCAAACGGGGCACGCATATTCAGCAGTTGAGAAACACAGTGCCTGTGCCGTTGTTATTAAAACGCCAGGACGTGCGCCCCATCTACTTCCCGTTAGCTTTCTGAGTATGCTATTCCTAGTTGTTACTAGGAGACTGTAGTCTTAGTTAAAAAAAACGTAGAATATGCAAGCCAAAAATATTTTTCTGTAGTATTAAATAGATAAATTTGCTAAGTTCGCTATTATTGGTGTCGATAAAAAAACTTTGGTAAATAGAAGTTACACATTGTATATTTTACATATTATACAAAAGCATTACAAACGTTTTGATGTCAAAATTGATAATGAAAAAAGTATATCATAAAATACAGGATATTTATCTAGCTGATAATTGTAGAGACGATGTAGTCTAATTTTTTCAGGAAGAAGAATTTGCAGTAATGGATACATTTATATTTTTATCTACACATGAATAGATTACATCAACAGAAAAATCAGGAATCAAATCAATCACTTTATGATCGAAAGGGGTTTTTGTAACTGTATTAAAAGTACAAAAATATAACCTTTTGTCTGGTCACAATCTTATATGATTTAGTTAGGCTAAGATTTAAAAATTGTAGAAGAGATTTTGATCGTAACTTACTTTATTTGTTCTCTTTTCTTTCAGCCTCATACTTCCACGTCTGCAAACGCACGGACCCCAACTTGGACAAATGTGTTACGGAGGCGGTTATGACTCTTAAACCTCAACTTTCAAAAGGAATACCAGAGCTACAAATCCCGCCATTGGAACCATTCAATTTAGATACAATAATTTTAAAGAGTGGAAATTCTGGAGTCAGAATTGATGCAAATTTTACTAAACTCGTAGCCACCGGAGCTTCTGGATTTGAAGTATATGATCTGAAGTAAGCAATTTATGTGTTTCAATGCTTGGCATTCTAATGTTAAGACATATTTATAAAAACTAAGATTTATGATCAAAAGTGGATCTATTGTTTTCAAAATATTTTTGAAAAATATCGATCAAAATCATAAAATCTTCTAGATTAAAGACGGACTTTAAACGGCTTATTTTAAATACAGATAAAAACAAATCAAAATAGGGTTAAAATGGAAAAGTACGTATCTAGTTGATCAAGGGATGGATCTATATCTGTAGAGTTGGGGGGGGGACGAGTTAAGTCTCATAGCACTTAGAGTACAATTGACCCTTTGTGCATCCTCTCAGAGAGCTGTTGTCAGAGAGGTGCCGAAGCGTACTCTGACTTGTATTAGAAAAATCCAGTTAGATGAATCGATATAATGTGGAATGCAATTATAGATTCGCCATGTCAGTCCATTCATCGTCTACTTACTTAAATAATGTAAGTAAATTTTAAAAGGCACAGATTTAGGTAAAAATCTGAATTTTGGTTTCGAACAAGTAGAAATCTTCGGATTTTTACTTTTTGTTTTATTCTTAGATGTCTCCTTATACGTCTTTATGAAGTTATTTTATTAATACTTCTTTTGACAGAAAATATTTGATTTTACGTTCAGGATTCGCTGTGATGAGTCCTGTAAGGAGAAGATACGTATAAGCGAATTATATAGTGAAATACGTGAAATCAAATCTTAATTGTTTTTTCTATAAAAATAATGACATATTTTTGATAATTCTTTCTTCTTCTTTTTCTACTTTATAATCAATTCTGCTTGTTCATTGGCGGATTCATACCTCTATGGAAGGTTGTCACACCATGTTTTGCGCGGTCGTCCGATACTTCTGCCGATTTGTGACTTATCTCTTGCTATTTTGACGACACGGGTCTCATCCATTCTGCTTATGTGATTATTCCATTCTTTTTTTCTATTTTGTGTCCATTGATTAATACACTGAACGTTACAATGTCTTCGAATGTCTTCATTTCTCTTTTGATCTCTCAGCATATTTTCTGTAGTTCTTCTCAGTGCTCTTATCTCTTCCGTTTTCAGTTTTGCGTTGTGACTGTGTCGGATCTTGTTTCTGAGGCATATGTCATTATGGGTCTTAAACTGGCTTTATAAGTTTTAGATTTCATCTTAGCTTTAATGTGTCCGTTTTACCATAAAGTTTTTTTAAGGCATCATGCCAGTTTATTTGCTTCTTGTACTTGATCTCTTACTTCTTTGTCCAGTTCGCCATGGCTAAACAGTGTAATCCTTAGGTATTTTATTTCCATTACTTGTTCAATACTGATGCCATCAATTTCTATTTTACATCCGGTTGGTAGGGGAGCCATCTCAATAGTGAGACAGTTTTTTATTTCAGTGTAATTTTGTTTTTATCCATCCAAAATGCCATTAAACGCCAGCATAGGCGTTGACATTTATATTAATCTCTCTTCAAGTGAAATATTTGTAACTTTGAAGTTTGATATTTTTTTGCAAGAATATAGATAGTTGCATTTGTCTAACTGTAGGACACATATGCCTCACAGTGAGACACTTTAAATCCAACAGTGAGACAGGGAAAATAAATGAAAATATATAACCTAGCATGAAAAAAAATCTTATTTAGGCTGTTGTGTTTTGAAAAAGTTTAGTGGGGAAATCATATTTGTTGAACACAAAAGACACTTCCAAAATAAACAAAAAAAAGATACAGAACATAAAAAAATGAGTAAATATAAAAATATAATATCTAGGTATGTATCTACCTAATGTCCATTAATCCAAAATCTATCTCAAATGGTAAAGAAGTAATCTGTCGGCTAGTGTACCTACAAGGATTTGGTTGTGGCATATTGAGCTTGATATCTTTTAAAGCAACAATAGCTTCATCTGGAATTTTGGGAAATATAAATTTGCTGGTGCCCTTCGTTTTTTGTCTATGATACGAAATGTCATACTCTTCTGACTCATTTATTTTCAGGACTTTTCCAACATAATACACCTTTTTCTTCTCCAATTTTCCAGGAAATTCTACAAGCACAAAATAATTTTTTATGGGCTTTCTATCAAGCTTCTCAAATCCATCTGGATTGATTGTATAGTAGCAGTCATCTCCTGAGGCTGAACCAAATTCAAGTTCCTCCTCTGAGCTTTCAGAACTATCTTTAAATATTTGTTTCTTGACCTTTTCTACATTTTTCACTTCGATTTTATCAATTTTTCTTTTCTTCGTAATACTTTATTCTTCTATGGCATCTTTTTCGGGTGTAACAGTAGCTATAATACTTTTACTGGTTCTTCGCGTATTTTTAGTTTTACGTTCTCCTGCTTTTGGAAAGCCATTGAATTCTTCTGCGCTTTTAAAAACAACTGTGACAGTCTTGTCATTTTTAGCGTTCTGTTGATTGCTATTTTCGATACTGGTGTCTAAGGTAGCACCATTTTCTATATCCGATATATTTTATTTGTTGATGTTGATGTACTTGGTAGATCGATGGACTTTGTTTGACTTACATCATCTTTTAAATCGCGAACGGTAACAGCGCTTGCTAGAAAGTCTATATCTGTGAAGACACCGGCATCGTATGGATATATACCACACTTTTGAATGCATTTATAATATTGATCGGTGTTAGAGCTTTTTCATGAGCAAAGCCGACGCACTCAGCTACCTCATACATGATGAAAGGTTTATCTGGATGTTGCATCATTCAGGTAGCCACAGATGCATTATAACATGTTGAGAATGCTTTGAATACCCCCACAAATAGTGGTTGCAGCTTATTTGTGGAATAAGGAGGAAATGTTAAAGTTGTTACTCTGGCTTTGGCCAAATTAAGAACACGAATACTAAGATTTCCTACTTTCATGATTGTCATAGATTAAAAGTGATGGATTTTCTTTAGAGCTGTTGAAATATTTTATAAAATGCTTCATTACTTCTAAAAAAAATCAGCATTTTTCCACCCACTTGGAGTAGTAAGCCGCAACGTTCCTTTATATGCACCCTAGGAAAAAACCATTGCTGGTGCTAGGTATTGTCTCGTGGCACTAACGATGCAACAAGTGGTAACCAATGTACCTCTCTCCCCACTTGTTACCTTGCTAACTTGCTCCACCGCTTTCTCAGCAACAACCTTTGCTGATTTTTGAACCGTCGTAGTCGAAATCTCATCTAAATTGTAGATTCTTCTTCAGTCAGCAAACGCATCAGTTCTTGAATATATATTTTTTAAATTTTGGTAAAAATTTAAACAATAAGTCTATAAAATAACGTCGCACGGAATAAACTACATGCTTGAAGAAACAGTATCTCACTGTAGGACCTGTCTCACTGTTGGGCTAGCTCCCTACATTGCTGCCTCCTATTGTTTTAGTTTTCTAAGATGAGATTGTCATATTAAATTCTTTTGCTCTTATGTTAAATCTGTGGACCAGTCTTTGCAGACTATCTTCTTCTTGGGCTATCAATACTGCATCGTCTGCGTAACATAGTATTTTTATTTCTTTGTTTCCCATTCTGTATCGTCTTTCATTGTTAACACTTTTGATGATTTCATCCATGATCAAATTGAAGAGCGTTGAGCTTAATGAATTTCCTTGTCTTATTCCGCTTATTCCGAACCTCTTTCTATAGGTTCTGTAAGTTGTCCATCTATTCTGACTTCTATTTTGTTGTTTTGGTAGATGTTTTCGATAGCTTTTATAATATTTAGGTCAACTTCTCTACTATGCAGAAGATGGACTACATCTTTGAGTCTTATTCTGTCAAACGCTTTCTTTAGGTCAATTATACAGAGAAATGCTGGCCTATTATACTCTAGGAATTTCTCAGTAATTTGCTTTATAACGAATATTGGATCTCTACACGATCTTCCACTACAAAAACCCTCTTGTTCATCTGCTAAACTTATACTCTGATTTATTAGCACTTGTAAATTTTTTGTTGTAAGTTTTCGATAATTAAATAATAAATTAGACAGAAAACAGACAGAAAAGAAGGAATATTAATAACATAAAATGTTCTAGTTAATTTTTGGCTAAAAAGGCGACATTTTTAAAGTCATTTAAAATTTTATTTTTAGGTGCGATATACCAAAGAATGTATTTTTATTTAAGCTCAAAATACCTCATTTGGAATTCAATGGTGATTACGATATCGATATGAATGTTTTGGTTTTAAAATACAAAGGTAGCGGGCCCATTTCCGGAAACTTTTGTAAGTATTAAGATTAACTAATTTGTTTAATATGACTGATTGAGATTTTCTATTCAGAAAGTATAATGGACCTTTTTATAGAATTTGCAATACCTGTAACTTGCTTAAAAAAATACTCACAGAAAACACGAATGTACAAAAATGTTCAGAAAGGTTTCTACGATTAGTACAATTAAACCTAATTAATAATATTAGAAAACCCATTTGGGTGGAAATTGCCGCAAAAATTCTTAACGACAGGAATTGGATTGGTAGATAAAACGTTGTAAGTAACCGTGAGCCGTTACGGTCATCTCTTTTATTGAGACAATTCAGACTTTTTCGGTCTCTATGGCTTCTCGGATAATTTTTCGTTTATAGAGAGGGATGGAAACTATACTTCAAGAATATTAAAAATCAATTTTGTGACCTATAGAGAGATGTTTTTGGCCTAGAACTGAAACCGACTTTTACATTCCACGATTGGTTTGACCAATGTAAGACCCCGTGTTGTTCGTTTGGAATATTGTCTTTGACGGATGAGACAAGGGATAAACGTTTTCTTGAGGAGTAAACGTTTTATTTCCTTTGATTTGAGAATTTTATCGATTTTGTCAGTGACACCTTTGATTATAAGGAAAAAATGCTTTCGTTTAATGAGAATCTTTTTCTTCGGATTGAGATTGAGTTGGAAATTGATATGTGTGAATGCTCTTATTGACATTGTATTTTGCCTTGGCAATAATTATGCAGTAGAAGTCTGTCGTTGACTACACGTCTATGAGTATTGAAGTGCTACGTCTGGTCCACTTTGTTCTATGGATGTGAAACCTGGACAACAAAAATAAAAAATATTAAGAAATTAGAAGCGTTTAAGTTGTGGTGTTACCGTCGCATGCTCAGAATCCCGTGGAAAGCACACATATTTAACGAACGTGTGCTGAAAGGTCCAATACTTCGGTTATATAATGAGAGGACCTAAATATCGCTTACTCCGGTTAATCATTCAGGGCAAAATCGAAGGAAAACGTTGGGTCGGAAGTAAACAACTGTCCTGGCTGCGTAACATTAGACAATGGACAGGTCGAATGGTCGAGGAACTGTTTCATCTAGTTGCCGACCGAGAATCATTTCATCAGATTGTCAATATTGTATCGAATATTTTGCTTACCTCAGGGTAAGAACATAAGGGACAAGATTGGGCAAACAAAATAAATCGAAACAAGTGCATACGGCACTCAGTTGGTTGTTGGAGAGCTGGGTCGTTGACCCAGCTCGAAACAAGTTGAAGATATGGGGGTTGGATTGGGGCCACTACAAAAAAATGAAAGGGGTCATTAATCTCTTGGGATAAAGAAAATAAAAATAAACAGGAAACACCTCAAGGAATTTAATATAGGGCGCCACTTGAGGTGCCTAATTATACCTATTACAACCACTAGTTGTAACTGGGGAAATAACTATAAAACATCAAAAACATATCTTTTTTAAATAGAACTCAAAAAGGGTTGGTTCAAAAAAATAAACAAAATGTTAAGAAAACAAAATTTAACATTTATTTTTGTGTCACCACAAACAGTTACAACATGGAGAAATACAAGAATATATTATACAACATAATCCAAATTAGTAAAAACTTACATGTTCTTTATTTACATAAGAGATTGCTACAAAATTTTTAAAAGGTTTCTAGGTTATAATATGGCCAATTTAGATTATCAAAACTCTATGGATCTATGGATATCCTTTTCATGAAAAATATTATTGAATTTAATCTTACACATGGAAAATCTTTTACATAAAATAATCAAATTAAAATTGTCTTATAACAACAATGGATTAAAGCAAAATGTCATATGTCAACATAACAACTTAAGACAGATAAATTATGACATTTTTATCTACGACAACATAATATAAAACTTTAATTATTACAAATTCTTTTATATTAATGAAAGCAATTATTAAAATATCCATATAACTTGGAAAAATTAATATATGAAAAGTTACTTTAATTTTTTTTATAATCACTTAACTTTGAAAAACTTGGTACTATTTCTGGTTTGGAGCTCAAAGAACAAAACTCTTAACTGGAACAAAAGGAAACCATTTCCATACTGGAACGAAGATCTGACGTAGATAGAATTGGATCAAATAGGAAAACGATAACAAACTGGTGGGACATCCTATATATTGCTTCAAAATTATACCATATTCTGGTATACTACACAAATTACTTTTTTTACTGCCACATATGTCCACTAAAGGGGCCAAAACAGAAGAACACAAATTTGACGGAGAATTTGCGGATCCATACTTGCGATATACTCAGCGAACCAAGTAAGAATCTATTAAGGTCACACCTGACTCTACCGGCGACCCAAGTAGGAATGACGAATTTAAAAATTTGTTCATATAACTTGAAAATAACCAAAACGGCGAAATAGCAAAACACAACGAAACGACGAGATATCCTTTTGCGACGTATAAAAATTATAAGACGACTTAGAATAAAACAATAAAAGAAATTGCCGAAAAAGTCAAAATAATAAACAACTCTAAAATGGCTTATTTTAACATCTAGCAATGAAAACACTTTTGCGTATTTTAACTTGAAAGATACGAACTAACAAACACGGAAAAAATTCTTCGTTTTATTTTTTAAACATATGTAAGGCGATTTCCATATATTTCATATACGAGGAGATTTCAATATATGACGATAGCCAACGCTTGAATACAAGCACGGCACACAAAGAAGAAGAAGAGTTATTGAAACAAAGACCTTTTGGCGCATATATATATATATATATATATATATATATATATATATATATATATATATATATATATATATAGTGGTATATGCACACGTGGAAGAGACGATCGTCTTCTTCACGTGCCATATCAGAATTATCCAACATTGGCGATCACTATTGCGAAGGCTTCTCGATTTTCTGCCATATAGAATAATTGTCCTAAATTTGATATCTTAATATCCATATTCATGATAATTTCGTTCACGAATGTTTTTAATGAAAAAACCTGCTTTCTTCCTACACACCTACGGCCTTCTATTTTGCCTTTAAGGATAAGTTGTTGTATTCTATATCGATTTAGCTTTACTATACGTTCCAGAGAAGACATTTTTTGGTGTTTAATAGTCTTTAGCAATTCTTTATCTTTGTTGACCCTCCTTAATACTTTTTGCAGTTTTTCTTGCTGTTCAAAGTATGTTCAGCCTCCGTCTATAATTCCACAATTCCAATGCTTTAATTTTGTTTATGATTGATACTTTTAGTGTCCAGACTTCTGCTCCATACAAAACAATATTTCTGGACCATTCAGACCAAATGTAGCACTTAAACATTCTTTGTTTTTATTGTTCTGAAGCTATTTTCTTGTGGCATTGTAAATTAATTACTATTTATAACTGGGAATAAGCCACAATTAAAGATAAAAATACGTTTGTTGACGTTTCAATTTCCAATTCGGAAATCGTTCTCAAAATACAAACAAATATTCTTTGTTTTAGTTCTTAACTGAGATGATGTCTTTATTTTTATAAAAGTAGTTTTAGTTAGTGCTATTCTGCATTTTGTTTGCAAATTAGTTACGAACAAACATTACAAATTTAGTTTTGTTTAGGTTTCTTTTAATGCCCAATTCCTTCCCTACTTCGTGAATACGATCAAGCAGAATTTGGAGACCGTCAATATTTTCTGATAGACTTACTGTATCGTCCTCTTATCTACTTATATTAAGTAGTTCCTTGTTGATTTTTATTCCAAATGGCTGTCTCTCAAGTGCCTTTTTAAATAACTGGTCGGAGGAAACATTGAACAATGTAGGGGACAAAATGCAACCTTATCTAACTCCTCGTTGTAGATACAGAAAGGATAGAGATTCGAATTGTTAAAATTTACGAAGAACCCTATGTTTTTAAAGCAAATTAAGCTTGAGATAGCCATGTGGAGCACATGGAACCCTCTGAAATTCTGAATCAGTAAAAATTATACCCCAACAACAAATGGTGGTCCTAAAGGACGGCCAATAATATATCTGGACCAAGTATAGAAAGATATAAGAATAGAAGATAAAAGATAAAGATATAATACGAAGTAAGAAATAGGAATAATCGGAGAGAATTGGTGGAACAAGTCAGGCCCAACTTGAGCGAGATGGATTGGTCGTATAACACTCTCGTTATTACGAAATATAAAGTAACTTTCTTTGCAGCAAACTAATCTCTTTCAGTATATTTTTCTGTATTTATTTTTTATTTTTTAGCAAACCTGGACGTACAAGTTGAATTAAAAGGCCAGATAAAGAAAATTGACGGTAAAAATTATCAGACGTTTAAAAAAATTGGAATAGAGCTGAAAGTTGGAAGTTCGCACTTAAAACTGGGGAACCTTTTCCTTAATCAACGAGGTTTAGGTGATGCAACTAATCAAGTAGTTAACGACAATGCTGATATATTTTTAAGAGAAATACGACCTGCTCTAGTAAACTCTTTATCTGAAAAATTCACCGAGACAGCGAACAAAGTCTGTAGGATGTTTACTTATGACGAACTGTTCCCACTGTAATTTCTATTAAATTAATATATGAGTGATATTTTTGTTTTGTTTTGTAATAGTTTTTTAGATAATAAATTGTAATGACACTAAGTAATTGTATTTATGATCTGCAAAACGTACTATACTAACACAATTTTTAATTGAAGGTGATTACTTGGCATCATCGCACTTAACGAAGCCCTTAACGATAACTTTTTAACGAAATCATGTTCCACTTATCAATTTTGCAGAGGCGTGCCAAAAAAAAATTTAATTATTTATTCACATAAGTCATTATGTAAAAATTAAATCTAAGGCCGATATAATTATTAAATTCATGTGTCTTTTAACATGTATCTTATAGTTGTCTAACAAAATAAAGTAAAATATTATTGTTCGTATAGAGTACCTAATACGGTACTTCAAAAAACATAAATCTTTGCAAAGTACTTATTTTTTTTCATTAGACGAAACAATCTGATATTTCAACATACAATCTTGTCTAAGCACTTTATTCTCTATTTATAGAATAGCTGTCTGCTATAAACGTTATATTTGCCATGTCTTAACTTAATTTGACTTGATTTAATTATTTATTTAAACACATAAGTAAACCAATTCTAAGACCGATATAATAATTAAATTTTCATGTGTCTTTTGACAGGTATCTTATAGTTGTCTAACAAATTAAAGTAAAATTTTATTCTTATTAGAGAGTACCTAATACAGAACTTCAAAAAATAGAAAACTTTAGAAAATACTAATTTTTGTCATTAGACTAAACAATCTGAAATTTAAACATACGATCTAGCCATTACCCATCACTCTCTATTTATAGAATTGCTATATTTGTATTAACCAACAAGCGAGAGCTGGCGGGTTGCGCGTAGAACAAATTAAAAGTGAAAGGGATTGCTCATTTCTATTGCAGTCGGCTAGGAGTTCACATCGTGTAATTAGTGCTAGATTTCTGACAGTGTTGTCAAGTATTTACATTTTTAGTTGGCGTGGCCCTATATTATAAACTATTATTTTTATATTTATTAAAATGGCAAATGTATTAAAAAGCAAACCTGTAGGATCTCAAGCACGAGAAATTATTTTCATTCGAGAAATGTTTTTAAGTTTACTACTGAAGAAGCTAATGCAGATAAAGTCTTAGTTGATTTAAAAAAGATACAAGAACGTGTAGCTCAATTAACTGGTAATTATAATACTCATTTTCAAAATAAATTCAGATTTAAATAAACAAAGAATGTGTGTTCTGTGTTGTGTTTAGTTAAGTGTTTAGTAATCAAGACACACAAGTTGCATCAGTCCGCAATACATACAAAAGTACCTTCCCTTCGAAAATTAATTACGTTTTATGAAAATAAATATTATTAACATTTTTTTTACGTTTAATTCAATATTATTATTATTTTTATTTTGTTTTCGTGGTAAATAAGTTTATCACACACGCATTTACATAACCACGGAACATATCTATTAACGTAATTTTCGGCAACTACGCATTTGTGACACCCGCGAATAAGTACCTCTCCTATCTCTCTTAGAATAATTCCTTTTCTATTTTCGCGCAGCTCACTTGCCAGCTCTCGCTTGTCGGATAAGTCGGATAAATTCCTTGTGTTTATTTGTTTATATAAATATAAAAATATATTGTGAAGTTCATATAAATTAAAATAAAGTAAGCTAAACTATTATCATGTTAATGCGTGTATATAGTAGTGCATTTGTTTATTTTAGTAAATTCTCGAAATATGAAGTGAAGATGGCACTAACTACTACAGAGTTAATAGCTGTGTTAGAAGAAGACTCAGATTGTGAAAATGCTAACCCACCTAATGTGGTTTATTTGCCGCCGAGAGTAGATTAGAAAGTTTCTGATGTAGAAGATAATATAAGATAATGTAAGAAGTAATGTCATTGATGATATTATTTGTGAAGAATCAATAAAGATATTGCAGGTACATATGAAATACAAGTGATTGGGAATTCTGACGATTCTGATTATGATATTCCTCTGAACCATAGATAAAACATCCAAAGAAAAACCAGGCAAAAATAGTAATTCCAAATTTGTCTCAAGTTGTAATAGCAGATACTCCTTCGTGCTCAGTAGTAATTCAACATCAGTCTGATTGATATTTAGACAATATAAAAGCCAACCATAAATATTTATGCATTGCAGAAATTATTAGCATATGTATATTACCTCGTTCACACTCTGCTTCAAGTTAATACGCATTGGTCAAAGGATGAGGTTAAAGAAGTGCACATAATAAGAGAAAGCATAAGCCGATGTAGATTTATATTTATAGTTAATAATAGTAAAGAAACCGCTACATCAGTGTCAAACTTAGTAAATGGACGTCAATCTAAATTTGTTTTACCAGATGAAACCAGATTCGACAATATTGGCCACATTACAAAAAAAACGATAGTGCAAGAACGTGGGATATGCAAAAGTAATACTATTTATTTACGTAAAAGGTGTAGACTGCAACTATACCCCGAATGTTTCGAACATTTTCACTTTAAAATTTAATTTAGGTACATTTAAGATACAGTATATTCAGCAAACTAAAAGTTTTAAAGTAGACGACTTTAAATATGCCAATATTGCTGAGTTTCGTTCCTGGACGACTTTATTGTAAGATTACATGAAATCAACTTTAACTTGAGAATATTCGTCAGAAAATTCATATCATGTGACTCGTCTTTACAAAGACAACCACGTGCCATGGTGACAGTAAAATTATCCTATTAGTGATTTCATAGTAACCAGGAAAAAAACCTCATATTACTATCCTGACATAGTAAGTATTTGGTCTTACATTTAGTTTACTCTCAGTGAATCCCAAATTTTGATTTTATATGTTTGTTATTTAAAAATATAAATGATGTATCCTCGACATGTTACTGACTTATTAATACTGGTATTTTCTTTTATTAACTTTCTCTTTTAATAATATTAGTAACTAGATCCTACTGCATTTTGCCGAAGAATTTGCCACACAATTGATCTCATTTAGCATAATTAGGGCCGCTTCTTTGATTTTCTCTTTGTCTATTTGCTTTCGTACTATATTTAAATCGTTCTATTGAACACTATTTTCATTTTCCCATGCGTGTTTACATATTTGAGATCTTTTTAATATAAGATTGATGTTCACTTATTCTAACATTTAATGGCCTTGATGTTTAACCTAAATAAAACTGATCGCATTTACAAGGTATTTGATAAATACAGGTCATTGTTCTTTCTTGTTCATTGTCAGGTTTAGTTTTAAATAAAATAGATCTGAATGTTTTGGTGTTTTGAATGTTGTTGAAATGTTGAATTTATTACCTATCTTTTTAAGTTTTTCTGATAGTCCTTTTATGTATGGTATTGTTATCTTCGTATTATTCCTTGTGTATGCTGAAGGATCTCGTTCTAAGTTGTTCTGTTTTATTGGGTCTATTGGTAAAAATTTCTAATTTATACACGATAAAGGATAATCATTTTTTAATAAAGAGATGTTAACAAATGTTGTTTCTCTACCAACGAATTTTTGTTAGATCAAGTAATTTTGGCTTTATCGTATAAGGATTTAATGATTCCTTTTTTAATATCGATGTTGTGATTTGATTTTTAATTTATATACCTGTTGGTGTGTGTTGGTTTTCTATAAGTACACTTGAGTCTCATATCCAGTATCGTTCTTAGAGATTAAAACATCGAGAAAAGGTAGTGTATTATTATATTCCTTTTCCAAGGTAAATGTTATTGTCTCTTCTTTATCGTTTATATCGTTCAGGAATGTGCCCAACAACTCTGATCCATGAGGCCATATTAAGAAAACATTATCTACATATCTTCACCATACTGGGAGTTTTAAATTTTGATTAGACATAATATTTATCTCAAAATATTTCATAAATATATCGACTAATAAAGGAGATAAACTAGAGCCCATTGCTAGAACAAAAAATTTTGTTTATAAAATTCATTATTTAGTTGAAAATAGGTATTATTAGTACATAATGTCAATAATTCCATTATACCTGATACATTTATTTATGTTCTAGTTGCCAATGTATCAACATTCTCTAATTTTGTTTTGATTATATTTATAAGTCTTATATAATAGCACATTTGTAAATAAACTACATATTGATGTCAAAACTTAAATATTATTTGAATTAAATTTAATACCTATTCGATAATTTATTCAAAAAGTTTTGTGTATTTTTTATAAATGTGTCATTTTTATGTGCAAATGGTTGTATAATATTTAATAGAAATTTTAGCAGTTCATTACAAGGAGAATTTATGTTACTACAAATAGGTGTATATAGTAGAATAAGTAGTTTATTCGTTTTATGACCTTTCGGTATTCCATAAAAATGACGTGTCTTACGGTAATGTGGTATAATTAATCTTCTTTGATAATTTTTTAAATAATCTTTAAACTTGAATAAAGTTCTATATATTCTGTTTTCCAAAGGCTTAGTTGGATGCTTTGTTAATTTTGTATAAAGTCCATTTGTTATTAGATCTTTTATTTTGTTTTCGTATTGAATTTTATCCATTATCACAATATGGGATATACGTGTTTGGGAAAGAAAAATCCTAAGGAAGATCTTTGGTCCGGTGCTTGATGAAGCATCAGGACAATATAGGATAAGAACTAATAAAGAGCTTGAAGAACTTTACCCAGACGCCAACATCATAAAAGAAATAAAGTCCAGAAGACTCCAATGGGCAGGACACCTCAGAAGACATTCTGACGAACGAACAGTAAGACTGGTGTGAGAGGAAGTCCCAACTGGAAGGAGACCACGCGGACGCCCTCGTCTTCGGTGGCGAGATAATATAGCAGGAGACCTAAGCACTATGGGCGTGGAGAATTGGATGGAGGTTGCTCAAGACAGAAAACAGTGGAGGCATGTTGTCGAGTCGGCTAAAACCCACGAAGGGTTGTAACGCCACGGAGTAAGTAAGTAAGTAAGTATCACAATATCAATATTTGTTAACATCTATTGTATTGAAAAATGATTATTCTTTATCGTTTATACATTTTTTAATTTTCAACAATTGACCGAATAAAACAGAACAACTTAGAATGAGATCCTACAGCGTACACAAGGAATAATACGAGAAAAATAAAAATACCATACGTAAAAGGATTATCAGCAAAACTTAAAAAATATGAAATAAATTCAACATTCAAAACAACAAACACATTCAGACCTATTTTATCTAAAACTAAACCTAACAATGAACAAGAAAAAACAAAGAATTGTATTTATCAAATACCTTGCAAATGCGATCAGTTTTATTTAGATGAAACACCAAGGCCATTAAATGTTAAAATAAATGAACATTAATTTTATATTAAAAATAAATAATTTAAAGATCTAAAATATGTAAAAACGCATAAGAAAATGAACATAGGGTTCAATGAAACAATTCAAGTATAGTACTAAAAGAAACAAATGGTAATAAGAGAAAAATCGAAGAAGCGGTTCAATTTATGCTGTAATGCATTAGGATCTAGTTACTAATATTATTAAAAGATGAAGTTAATAAAAAGAAAATACCAGTATTAGTAAGTCATTTACATGTCCAGGATACACCATTTATGTTTTTTAAATAACAAACATATAAAATCAAAACTTGGTGATGTAAACTAAGAATGTATGACCAAATACTTACCATTTCGGGGAGGTTTTTTTCTTGTTTTTTTTTCTCATAATATACTATCTAATCTGTAACAGGAGAATTTTACTGTCATCACTGTACATGCTATGATTTTTCTGACGGATATTCTCAAGTTAAAGTTGATTTCATGTAATCGAATGAACTATCCTACTATAAGGTCATCCCATGAACGAAAATCAGCAATATTGGCAATATCATTTTAAAGTCGTCGACTTCAAAATATATAATATATGTCTGAATTGTAAATACAAATAAGTACGATGAAATTAAATTATTAGAAGTATTTTTTTTACCAAGTAAAAAAAAACAAAATTTATTTAATTTCTTAATGTTTGTATTTTGAGTATGATTACCGAAGTGGAAATTGAAACGTCAAAAAACATATTTTAAACTTCAATTATGCGCTATTCCCAATACAATAGTAATTACTTTATGATGCCACAAGAAAATAGCTTTAGGGCAATATTTTTCTTTGGAATTTAGGGAAAACATAGTCATAATAATTATTTTAATTTTGTTAGATTGCGTTCGGAGTGTAAAAACTCAAACAACTTAGGTCCCAAAATTTAACAATAGAAGAGAAATAGTAACCTTCACTCGCCTCCGGATTGGTTATACTCGGTTAACACACGATTACCTTCTTTAAACGTGCTGATAAACCTATGTATGACATGTGTAAAAGTGTCTTAACAGTAAAACATTGTTTATCGCAGTGCCCGAAGTATGATGTGCAACGCAAAATTTATAACATACCATCGATAATAGTGCTCTTGAAAACAAAAAACAGTGATACTAAAAAATATTTTCAAAGACTGCAAGCTGTTATCAAAAATCAAATATTTTACTTTCTATATATTTAAGTTTATTTCTAATTATGTATTGCTATGGTTAAGTAACCCGTTGTTTTCCGTGGAGAGTGGGCATTTTGTTTGTTTATTATTCTGTCGTTGTCCTAGGTGAGCGACAAACGCGACAACGCGACACGACGCGACGCGACGCGAAAATATCAAGTAAATGGTTGTATTTGTGTGTGGCCTACGTTTTCGGGTTAATCAGTCTACGACAAGACGCGACGAAGTGCGAACTTGTTTTGTTCGCGACGAGACACGACCAACGAACTGTCAAAACTGTCAGTATTGACAATTCGCTGGAGACCACACAGAGTGAGTGAAGAAGTCAGGTGATAAAGCAAATAGTCGTGTTTAAGTTTTATAAAAGCATGGATCTAGAACTCCTTATTAATGCAGTGCGAGAACAAAAACTATTGTGGAATAAAAAACATAAAGATTATAGAAATCGTTTATTGGCAAGAAGAGCTTGGAAGAGTGTTGCTGATGGGCTTGGGTGCACTAGTAAGTACATAATAATTAAAAATTTAACTAATACTCGTAATAAAGGTGAAATCCAATAATTCATACTAGTTGTCTTTAAAAAAATTTAAAAATAAATCTCTTGTCTGTAAAGCTTCTCGTGTTGAGGCATTATAACGCCGTGATCTTCGAAGAGATTGTTGTCTCTGAGAGTAGTTGAGTATGAAGTTTGATTAGAGGGAGCTTCAAGGTCACGTACAATGTTATGAATTATAGTTATAGCTTTTACAATGTGAATTGCATTATCGACATCAGTAGCTATAGGTCTGCTAAGTATTCCAAATTTTGACACTATAGATCCAAAGGAACACTCCACAACCATTCTGGCACGTGACAATCTGTAATTAAAACGGTTTATCATCTCCTGAAACAGTGTTTGCGTCTGGAAATGGTTTTAAGAGATAAGTTTTTAACGGAAATGCAGAGTCGCCAAGCAATACGAACGGAGCTTTAATATTGGAATTTGGCAAAAAATTTTTTGCTGGTACTTTTATTTTTCCACATTCGACCGCATGACGGAACAAACCTGCATCAAATACTCCGGCATCATTATCTTTACCATATGCACCAATGTCAACCATAATAAATTTGTAATTGGCGTCTGTAATGGCTAATAAAATAATGGAAAAAATTCCTTTGTAATTGTAATACATGGAACCGCTTTTTTTCGGTTTTTTAATGCGGATATGCTTCCCATCTATGCAACCAATGTAGTTTGGAAATTGCCACTTTTGCCAAAAATCATTAGCTATATGCAGAAATTTGTCCTCTGTTGGTACTGGCATGTGTTTTTGCACTAAAGTCTCCCATATAGTAACGCAAACTTGTTTTACAATGTTGGCTACTGCTGTTTTTGATATGCGAAAACTAAATGCTAGTTTTCTAAATGGCGTACCAGTTACCAAGTACCTAAAATAAATCTATTAGTATTTTTTTTTATTACAGGTGCAGATGTCCAAAAAAAGTGGAAAAATCTACGTGATTCTTTTGCTAGAGAATTGAAAAAAATCCCTAAAATACGATCCGGTGCTGACGCTGAGAATGGTGGGAGGGAGTACAAGGGTGACTGGCCATATTTTGAGGCGATGAAATTTTTACAAGTAGTTATAAAGTCACGTACAAGTGCTACAAACGTTCCTAGTATATTGTTAGATGAAACAGATATGTTTGATGATGACACAATTATGTCCGTTTTGTCAGATTCCCCAGTAGTATCGGGTGATACAGATACTATTACAGAAAATCAGACTGAGACACAACATGAAGATGACAGCAATTCGGTCGCTTATACTACTGAAAGTCAATTTACTCTAGAACAGGATGCCATGGAACCAACTGAAAATGATAATTTAACACCTAGAAGGTCCCAGAATAATCAGACAGTTCGTACGTCACATCCTCAAACCCGTGATAATCAATCTGAAGCTGCTGTTGGAAAAAAGAAGAGAAACCCCACTGATATTTCAGAAGAATTTATGAATCTTGAGAGAGAGAGAAAATTAAGTTATTAAAGAAGGACATGGACGTTCAGGATGACGATGACCTGAATTGGTTCAAATCCATATACCCATATTTAAAAAAATTAATAATAATAATAGTCTCCCGTTTTATACCGCACGCGGCTTTGGGAGTATAGCAGGGTAGTCTGCTATATCTAGGGCCTACGGTATACAAGGAAGGTAACATGGCCAGTGCTACGCTTCAACCGCCTATTATTACCCCTGGTTTTACCCAAGGTACTCATTTTATTCAGGCTGAGTCGACCTGGGGCCTATAGACATTTTTAAAAATGCCTAGTTGTTCTTGCCGGCGGTAGGATTCGAACTCACGACCACCGGCATGCGAGGCAAGCACACTACCGCTTGCGCTACGCAGGCCCTATTTAAAAAAATTTAAAAAAATTGCCGCCCCTAAATAAACTTCTGTTTCGGACAAACGTACAAGAAATGCTTGTGAATGAATTAGCAAAATTCGAGACACAACCACAATCATCATCATCATCCCAGACTTCGTCAAGCACCATTGCTTTTTTCAATTCAAATTATGCTACGTAATAGTTTATTTAAATAAATAAAAATTAATAGTAATAGTACCAGTGTTTTTTTATTGACATACCTTAAAGTTAGTAACAGCCTCTCCTTAAAAGAAATTGGTTTTTGAAAATTACTTATTGACAGTTGAATACTGGGTTTAACAGCTGCAATAATATAATCAAAAGTGCTTGGTAAAAAGCCACAATACTGTTTAAACCAACGTGGATTATTTCTTAATTCCGAATATAAATGATGAAACTCTCCAAATTTATTTGGCTCTAAATATATGGTATTTGTTGTCTTTCTTCCTCGTTTGTGAAATTTTTTTAAAGCTAAGTATTTAAAATATGAATTTTCTATTAACACTGCCGTATACTTCCCCATACTTAAGAATAGGAATGAATTGACATCGTGACGTTTTTGAGCGATGGAAAGCGACGCGATGCGACGCTACATAAGCCACACGTCGCGTGAATTACTGGTCGCGTCGTATCGCATCGAATTGCGTCGCGTCGCGTCGTTTTCCGTCGCTCACCTAGGACAACGGGTTAAGGTTAGGTTAGGTTAGGTTAATATTCTATTGTTAAGTTCTAACTCTGTATCACAATCCATACACGCTAATAACCCTGCGTGTTTGATGCATCATGTAAGAAAAAAAAAACAGTTTTGGAATTTCGTAACAATTTTGATGAACGTAAACATAACAGCTTACCTAAAAATATATTTTATAGTGATCAACACTGTTCACTGGGCACTGCTCTTTTGTTAAATTCTTTGATATCTTAAATTATATTTTTATTAAATAAATATTTTATTCGAGATTCACATAAAATACAATAAATAAAATAAAAACACACCTATAAATAATAAATTCACAACGTATAAAATCACTCATTGGTAGCTCAGCCCGTATTTTTGTAAGACCTTTGGATTAATATGAGAACCCACAGCCATTAAAAGGGGCACATCCACTAGATTTATCTTCAGCGTTTTGACCAAAGTGTCCATCGTACAAAAGTCTGTCGTTAACAAAAATTGGCATAACGTATTCGCCTTTAGACAAATTTCTGTTAGTTTATGTTCTAAGAAGGTAGAGCACTAAAAAATAACAAAATAATAAAGCGAGATACATTTGGCTAAGATTAAAATTATGCGTGATTTATATTTTAAATTAATCGTATAATCACACTAAAGTAGCTCTTTGTGATGTCACAAGGTAGAAGTTAATTTCATACAAATAGTAAAAGTTAAACCACTAGATTGGTGAGATATGAAACTTTTTTCTTTATTACAAAATTTGATCGCAAAATTTAATAGTTTTACATATTTTTCTTACAACGGAGTCGTTTAAAAAGCATGCTTTACTCAAAAATCATAAATTATTATTAATTATTACCTGCTCCTTTGACATATTTTGTTTCCACATCTGCAGCACAGTATCCAACATACTTGCTACTATAGGAGAAGCATCCACATCTCCACCCATTTCTCTTTTTGCCATCCTTTTTCTTACACTAGATAAAACTTGTACATCCCTGTAAATTTAAAATATACGTTTATATTGAAAATTTATAAAACACTTTGGTTACCTAAATAGATGAGATAAATTCAGAAAAAGTAGATAAATATTTATATTTGGCATAATAAAAATTAAACTAGCTACGTAATTGACAAAATTGATATTCTAACGGATACAGAAGCATTGAGACGTCCTAATAAGTTTTGCGAAATATAGAAAAATAAAAGGGGCATATCTGCCGATATTTTCAGTAGTATTATTTGCAACCAAGATCTAGATACTAATAAACGATGACAAACTGGGGACGTGTTCTATTAAAAATCAGTAATAGCCTACATTATGTCCAGACAAACTTCTCGACTACGTATGCACGATGTCAGAGTTTCCAGAGGGATAGAATGTGGAACAGACCATTATCTTTTTAAAATCACAAATCTTTTTACCATTAGTAACACATTCTAAAAATTTAGTAGATCCAAATTATCAAGAAAGTTGTGGGAAAATATATAATAGAGTGTCCGTCGGCCAAAAGTTTATAATAGATACTCTCTACATTGAGCATGGCTTCATTAGGCCGAGTCTAACATGATTTTATTCTGGGACTTTTTTTTGGTTTTGGGGCGTTTTCCTCTAATTTTTTCGAAACCTCTATAAATAGGGGACTGCGGGGTACAGTGGACAGTGGGGTATAGTGGTCAAACTCAATTTTCAAATAATTTAAATCTAGGTGCCTAGGTGCATACTGCCATCTAGTTTCTGCACCTGTTTCTATTTCCATTGGTGTATATTATATTTATGTTAATAAGGTGGTTTTCGATAAAATTCATTAAAAGTGATTTATGAGGTGGCCGGTTCCTCACGTTTTCCTCAAATTCTATCACGTGGAAAGAAAGTGGAATACATACTTATAAAGCCGTATTTATAATTTTGTGTTAATTCATCATTTGAAAGTACTTTCAAGGTAAATTTACAGTATATCAGTTTTTTCATTTAACTTAACTATCTGTGTTGTGCATCGAACTTTTTTAAAAATTATGCTCTAATTACACGGGGACAGTGGACATGATATTATAGGGTACAGTGGATACTGCTCACGAATAAAATTTCATTATTGTTCACTGTACCCCATTACCAATTTATGTAATATTTTACATTTGTTTTCCTTTTTTCAATTGCATCTGCCACATAAATGGTAAAAAATAAAATACGACAGACTAATATTGGTCAGAAATAATCGACCGAAAATGTGAGAACTGTAAATGACATAGATGTTACAATGCAACCGAATTACACCGTAAGACAAATTATCTTCGAACAAATTCGGAAGAAGCGAAATTAGCAGAATCTCTAAAAATACATGCATGTTTAGATTTACATCATGATTTTACATTCAGTTCACTGCGTAGTTTGGCTTATGAGTTTGCAATTGCAAACAATAAACATGTTCCAGAATTTCGGGTAACTAACAAAACTGCTGGAAAATATTGGTTTACACTTTTCATGAAAAATAATAAGGACATTTCTCCACCATAAACCAAATAACTTGCCCGAAAAATGGGTTTGAATAAACCTGTGGTTAATCAATTTTTTGATCATCTGCAGCGTCTGTATGGTAAATATACTAAATGTATACCCACAGCAAGTATTTAATGTGAATGAAATTGGCTTAATGACGGTTCAGGCTCTCTCCAACGTTATAGCAACAAAAGATGTCACAGAGATAAGTCAAATACTGTCTGCTGAAAGCGAGCAACTCGTCATACTTTGATGTGCCATTAACGCCCTGGGAAATTCAATACAACCTGTTATGATTTTTCCGCGAGTTAATTTCAAACTGCATATGGTAAATGGAGCTCCTCCAGGTACAGTGGATTTTGCATCACCAACAGTATAGATTACATCCAATATTTTTCTAAAATAGTTAGAACATTTTGTCTAATATGTAAAACCTTCAAAGGAGTCTTCTGTTTTGCGTATTATGGACAACCATGAAACCCATATTAGTATTAGAGAAATTCAATATGCAGAGGAAAATAACATTATCCTACTTCCATTACTGTCACACACAAGTTATCGGCCCCAACCTCACGACAGGAGAGGACATCTTAAGATATTTTACAATGATTCTTGTAAATCATGGTGGTTACAAAATCCTGGAAAGCGAATAACGATCTATGAAATTCGGTCTTTGCTTGGTAGATTCTTTCTATTAACAGACGTTGAAATATTGACGTTGAAATCGTGTGCTTCCACCAGTAATGCTAACATAGGTAAAAGCCAAGCCACGACCTTACCAGCTGGTTGGGTTTGTTAACAAGTGACACCACCACAAAATAAATGACCTCTCCCCAAGGCTGCGCATAAAGAAACGAAAATATGTGGACAAAAAACTAGAAAAATGACAATATTAACACATGAGTACGCCTGTGATAAAAAAAACATGAAAGACATATTAGAAAACAAAAAATAACCTGTAAATGTAAACCAAGTAAAAAAGAAAGCAAAATCAAAAAATGTAAGGAAGAAACCTAAACAAATATTTAGACAGTAGCACCAGCAGCATATCAATGGATGACTTGACATACATAGAAGAGTCTACTTGTAGTTTTTCGGACATACCTTGGGAGAACTTAATCTTGGTTAGAGCCAAAATACACAATGCACTTTTATATTAGTGAAATTGGCTACAAAAAGACAGTTAAGCATTATCTTGGTCAAGTACAACAAATTACCGATAACGGTGATCTTGTAAAATATTTGCGTAAACACGGAAAACACTATGTATGACCTGTAGTAAAGGACATATTATCTTGTATTGATCAAAAAAGCATAGTGCGTGTGCTACCATCTCCTGATAAAACTGCCGGTACAGAAAAAGCTCAAAATTTACTTTTCTTTAAAATTGACTTTCCTGTATACAATATGGATTAAATAACAATAAACATTATTGAACAAACAAAACTGTATTAAATTTTAGTTATTTTAACAGCAAATGTTAATTGTGCCAATGTTTGTATTTAAATAATTCCAATGTCTGATGTGCCCCTCGACAATGACCACTTTAACCCATCCATGGGGTACAGTGGACATATAAGCACATGCTTTGTTAAATGTATTTTTTTTTCTACAATTTAAACATTAGCAGTTATACTTTGCACCAAGAGCAAATTAAGGCTATGGATTATCTACGAACATGAAACATTTTTTGATTCTGAACAAAATATAACATTGGTGAATTAAATTGTCAGAAAGTGCTTACTGTGTCCCTCTCCCCTGCTCCTATTCTTTTTAATTTATCAGCTTAAAATTTAGTCTAATTAGTCTAATAGTGCTAAAAACACAAAAAAAATTGTCTGATGATAAATAAAGGTCATTCATCGCGTCTGATGACTCGAAAATATCGGAAAAACGACTGTGACGAAATTCGTAGATAATCAGCTAATTGTTTCATAATACCTTCATTAAAAGCAGCAGAAACGTTTTACATTGTCTGACGGAACTTGTTTTTTTATTTTCTTGTCTGACGGGTGAACATTTTGATTTTTAAATGAAATAGATCATGATATAATTGTCTGATTATAATATAAATTTAAAGATTTTATATTGATTTTTTCATCTAAAAAAAAATGGCGAAGTCCTTGAAGTATTCATGTCGGTCTGTCCGTCCGTCTATCCGTAAAAACAACTCCTCTGTCATTAAAATATATACAATGAAAAATGACAAAGATGCTATTAAAGGTGAGAAATATGACCTTTTTGGACTTTTGTTTCCAGATTGGCAACCGGAAGTATTGTTTTAAGGTCACCGAAATAGTACATGTAATACAATAATCAACGCGCATTGAAAAGTCGAGCTTAAATATTAAGTTATATTTTACGGCTTAAAGATTAAGTTATTAAAACCTAAGACTTACGAAGACCAATTATTTGTTTCGTGCATATTTACTTAACCAGCTATTTTCGGCTAAAAATCGATACGTTTAGGGAAAATTAGAGGAAAAATGCCCCATAATCAAACAGAGTATCTATCATAAATTTTTTACCGACGAACACTCAAACTACTATATAAATAGTCTAAAAGATGAGTTGACAACATTGCTTTACAGAAAAAAAAAGCATAAAGCTTAATTATGTGGAGGAGGTGTCCGTCTGCCCTAAATACGTATTAAAATATAGAAAAATAAAACATAACGATAACTGTATACAAATAGAAAATAACACAGGCTTAAGAGTGCCAAGAGAAGTATGGAGACCAATAAAACCTCTAAGAATGGGTATAAAGGAAAAAGTTAATATCAACCCAACGCCACTAAAAGATTGGAAATATTACTATCAAAATCTATTGACCAAAGGTGGTCCACATTTTTTTTCTGAAAATAATCACCCCCTTTTTCTAGCCAAAGTCATCGTTTATAGAACAAACTCAATAACGCAACCAACACTATTTCAACTAAAGTGAAGAAAATCTTAACGACAATAAACAATATACGAGCTTCTGAAGCAACACGTCTCCCCATTGAAATTTTAAAGTTTGGACAGGACTCGCTAAAAAAGTACCCACTTTTGTGTTAAACTGCTTTTTAGAAGAGAAGAACTGCCATCCAAATGGAAAACAGCCTTCGCATCAAATGTCCATAAAAAAAACAGAAGGAACAAAGTGCTCCAAATATAACGTTTTAGAAACATATCTTTTAGAAAACACTGCCAGAAACTGAGAAACATAATAAATCACATTCGTAGATCTACAGAATGCTTATGATAGCAGTCCACACTTATATATATATATATATATATATATATATATATATATATATATATATATATATATATATATATATATATATATTTATATATTATTTGTAGTCTCAGCAATTGGTCTGTGTGAAATAAAAATCTATTTGTTATTTCTCAATATTTCGTCACGATTTTGTGACTTCTTCAGGAGAAAACTGTAAATTTATTTTAATTATTATATGTAAACAAAATGAATATTTCAATACTTACAACTTAAGATTAAAAATTTTAAATTTTAATAACATATCCAATTAGATAAATGACATTTTTTTATTTAATTTATTTGGGAGTTATGGTAACCGCAATATTTTATAGAGTGAATTCCCATTGTACAATTTTTAGCGAATAAGTTTTAATAAACAATTACATATTGTGACAGTATTATTATATATAATAAGGTGCAAAAGTAGAATATTGAGAAAGAATCAGGAACATGGTAAATTGATCTATAAAATGTAATTGATGGTACGTAGTCAGTTATTGGTCTGATGTTGTTAGATACTGATATGAAGATCTATCATATTATATATTGTTTAGTATATTACAGTAGATATTACTTAAATGGTTGGTGTCTGTCTTATAATTGATAGATTGTGGAGTTTTATTAATGTGTACCATTTCAAGGAAAAGTCGATTTTTATAATTATCAATTTGTTCTAATATTTTTACATTATTAAAGTCAAAGTTATGTCCTGTCTTTAAGTGGTGGTCTACTAAGGCACAAAAGTGACTGTAACTTACGAAAAAACTCTTGTGCCTTAGTAGACCACCACTTAAAGACAGGACATAACTTTGACTTTAATAATGTAAAAATATTAGAACAAATTGATAATTATAAAAATCGACTTTTCCTTGAAATGGTACACATTAATAAAACTCCAGAATCTATCAATTATAAGACAGACACCAACCATTTAAGTAATATCTACTGTAATATACTAAACAATATATAATATGATAGATCTTCATATCAGTATCTAACAACATCAGACCAATAACTGACTACGTACCATCAATTACATTTTATAGATCAATTTACCATGTTCCTGATTCTTTCTCAATATTCTACTTTTGCACCTTATTATATGGATAATACTGTCACAATATGTAATTGTTTATTAAAACTTATTCGCTAAAAATTGTACAATGGGAATTCACTCTATAAAATATTGCGGTTACCATAACTCCCAAATAAATTAAATCAAAAAAATGTCATTTATCTAATTGGATATGTTATTAAAATTTAAAATTTTTAATCTTAAGTTGTAAGTATTGAAATATTCATTTTGTTTACATATAATAATTAAAATAAATTTACAGTTTTCTCCTGAAGAAGTCACAAAATCGTGACGAAATATTGAGAAATAACAAATAAATTTTTATTTCACACAGACCAATTGCTGAGACTACAAATAATATTTAACACAGTACGGTCGAGAATAATTTGATAAATATATATATATATATATATATATATATATATATATATATATATATATATATATATACTAATAGTAATACTATTACAGAAATTAATATTAAACAATTGTCTTACGGGTTGAACTGGGTCGATTATCATTGCTCCGAGCTTTCGAACTCCTCTTCAATGTCTTTAGTGCTGCCGAAGTCTTAGTCTACCGAGCCCCCAGACACTAATCCACTGATCACTAATCAATGCATTACTGGTGCTGGGTCGTTTAAATGGGTTATTTATACCGTCGATACGGTCATTTATACCAGCGTAGGAATTGCCGTGGGGTTTGGCCCGAACATTTCTGACATTAGGATTTTGATTGACTGGTGAAGCACACGGTAATATTTTATGAGAGTTCTCTAAGTCGAAGGTAACCGTCATCTCTTTTATTGAGACGATTTGGCCTCTTTTCAATTTCTATGGCTTCTCGGATAATTCTTGATATATAGAAGTGGATGAGGGCTATGATTCTGGAGTTTTCAAAATTAATTTTGTCACCTGTATAAAGATAGTGTTGAGCTAAACTGAAATTGAATCGGAATTGCAAACATAAATTGAATGTTCATAAATCATATTTTGCATTTTACGATTTGTTTGGCTTATATAGGATCGGGGGCAGTCTGCACAAGGAATTTAATAAACTCCGTGGTATTCATTTGGACATTCAATGTTGTCTTTGATTGATGGATAAACTCGGACAAGAGATAAAAGTTTGTTGTTGATCTTAAAGATATTAGATGTCAGTGTTACTATTGATAGAATTTAGATCTTTTTTATGTGAATCATCTCCAATATGCATCTTTTGTTGTTATTTTGTACCATCAACTAAATACAAATTAATAAGAATAAATGATTTATTTACCAAGAGTCAACATCTGCTACAATAGCCACATTTTCTTCTATTCTATCTGTAAACAAACATGATTTCTTCAGTAATAGGTTATTAGTTAAAATACTCTCCCATTTGGTCGTTGGAACATGTAATCCTTGAACTATTTTATCAGGTACAAATTCGTCTAAATTATTATGGTCGGGAAGAAAAGATGTTGGTAACACTTCTATTAGATCACCAATAGGTTTCTCTCTAAAAATACCTAGATTATTAAATTAAAAGGATTTTTTATTATTAAGACGAATAGACAGATGAAAGGAAATGTGATATATAAATAAAAATACAACTGCAACCAATACATAAAATTAGTGATTTAAATAAAATACAATTAAAGTACATAACGACAATCTTTAAAACTTACGTAGAATAAATACAAATTGCAAAACAGTACAAAAAATACAAACATGTCGAGGAGTTCATTGATACTTATAATAATATACTTTAACTGATTACATATGCTGCTGTTGTAAGGTTTGTCGACAAACTATCTCCATTTGTTCTTATTATGTGCTATCTACTTGGCTTGCTCTTTGATAATTCGTCTTTTTGTCTTGATTTTCAAACTTGTTTCACTGGGCTACCTTTATTTATGGGAAACATTTGGTCAAACCATCTCAGGTGAGCTTCTTCAATTTTATTTTAGATTGGTGGTACTTTCAACTGCTTTCTTATTACCTCGTAAATAAACCCAAAGAAGAAAAAGAAGAAAATGAAAGGGAGAAAGTAATACAGAAGAGATATAACCTAATCGTCTTAGAACAAGAAAACGTGAGAGAATTATACAGAAATAGCTTAAATCAAAAGTTGGAAAATAAATAATTTAATTATAATGAAGAACATTACACTCACATAAAAAGGTGTCTCTATGAGGTAGCAACGGAAGCCATTGGATACCAAATCCAGAATCAAAGAAAACTTCCATATTGGTTTGACGAAGAAATAGAACAAGAAATAAAGAAGAAAAGACACCAATATCAAAAATTCTTAAATACAAAGAATATAACTGATAAAATAATCTACAAGGAGTCTCAAGCTAAAGTACGAAAAATGATGTCGGAAGAAAAAATGAAGCATGGCAACAAAAACATGATAAATTCACATATAGGAGGACGAAAAAACACAGACAGTTGGAAAGTCTTAAAATCTTTACGACAAGAAGAGAGACATAGTGTCATCAATAGCAATGGATGACTGGAACCAATATTTTGAGAAACTCCTAAGGTAAGATATACCACAATTTAAAGACAGCAATGGAACACAAAATATATATATTTTAACTTCGCCCATACGAATAACAACGAAAGAACTGGAAGATGTATGTAGATCTCTAAAAAATAACAAAGCACCGAGTCCAGGTAACATCATGTTAGGATGGTTGCTAACCTGGTGTACTAGCGCTTTTATCAAGTAACTCCGATACTATGAAGAGATTCCCTAAATTGCTTCCGCGAATTCCTCTTACTCGGTTGGTAATCCTTTCTGAAGGGTTATTGGACACTGCATTTGAAGTTGAAGTAGAAGTACTGGGCAGCTCCTCAATCTCAACTTCATCTTCCGAATCGCTACTCGATGAATGTTCTTGATCAACTTTATCAGGTACATACTTGTCATCTTCATTATCGGATACATCTTCATCACATAATTCTACTTCAGATTTATTATCTGACAAATTCTGTCAACACTCCAACAGTTTTTGCTTTGTTAAATATCGACGAGACATGATAACATCAGAAAGGAGAAAAATCACAATGAAAAGTCAAAATACAAATCGAACACGCACTTGCAAAGAGCACACCCAAACTAAATAACAATGTTTGATGCATTTTATAAAAAAATAGGTCTCTCTTCAATCCTGACCCCTCAGGGGAAGTGTAGGGGTCGACGTAATGTCGTGTATTGTCCGTCTCCAGAGATCTCTGTCTCGGTCATTTCTTTTAATGCATGCATAGGTCTTTGGCATATTCCTGTAATTTGATCTATCCATTTTGTTGGGAATCTTCCTCGTGATCTTCGGCCTTCTACCTTTCCTTGTATTATGAGTCTTTCCATGTTTACTGTGTTTGCTCTCATAACATGCCCAAAATATTTTAATTGTTGGAGATGGACTTTACTAGAGAGTCGTTGGCTAACTTTTAGCTCTCTTAAAATTGAATTATTTGTTCTACGGTTGATCTAAGGAATTCGTAACATTCGTCTCCAACAGAACATTTCAGTGGAGTCTATCTTTCTTCTCTCCGATTGTCTCAGAGTCCAAGATTCACATCCGTAGGTCATTATGGGGATATTAAGCAGTTGATCAACCCCATCTTTATCGCTCTTGAAATTTGACATTCCTTCCATATTTTTGCTAGATGGGTAAAAAAAAAATAGGTAAAAATCCAGAAAAGTAAAATAAGCCATTATGGGGATTGCATTTTTCTCGGTAGATATCAACATATTCTAAAAGTAATTACACTAAGTACCTGTAAAAGAAAAATTTTAATTCTGAAATAGATTTAGGTGAACTCCTAAGTTATTAAGGCTGTTTTAGCAGTTCAAACACACTGCGATTTGAAATGGGCGTATCACTTACATTTCTACTTTGCTTACGCGAGACTATCTTTACTCAGTGGCGTCGGTCAACGGGCAACAAATGCATTACTCTCCATTCAAATCAGTTTTAACACGAACTAACTGACCGTGCGCTCATGAAATTTGACGTCACGAATGCGATAACGGTGAACCTAAACGACAATGATGACTAACACGTTTCACTATTAGATTTTAGTATTTTTTAGCAATTTTCTTCAACGTTTGAACACGCTTTTCTCGATTATTACTGGACACAGAATGGTGAAAAAAAATCAACGATTACAGAAAAAAGAAACTCTTTCAAGTGATCGGCGTAAAAAGGTTGGTTATAATAGAACGTTGAACAGTATAATCCAATTTTTCAACAGAAGTTTAAAAAATATAAAAAAAGTAAAACCATCATTTTAAAAGCAATAAGAAGAAGAAAGCACAAGAATATTGTGTCCAAATTTCGAGACATTTTGTCGGTAAATAACAGTTCCTAGGTTTTGGTGCATTTTAAAATAGGATCAGAGGGTCAAATATAGAGACCGGTCAAAAGGATCGCTCTGGTGCTTCTAGTGTTAAAACACCTGGTCGAGACAGTCACAAAGGTACCCCACTCAGGGCTGACTGCTTTTAATTTCGCAAACAAAAATAGACGTAGTCAGAAACGCAAAGAAGCTTAAAAATGTGAAAGCTTCCAAGGTGCAAATAGTAGTTAGGATAGTGGCAAGTTTATGCTAATTCAAAACGAGTAGCGGTGATGCAAAATTTATAAGCTAAAATTACCTTGGTGCTAAAAATGATGCTATTTTATGGTTTTAATTTTCTAACAATAGTATTTAATAATTTAAAATATATTATTGTATTATACTTACTCGGGCAGGGGAAATTTGATAACATTCAGTTTAGCTGCATTGTCAGGTTCAGATATATCTAGTGTATTACTTGATATTGTTCTTTCTGTTTTTCTTACTTCATTAGTCTTTTTTAGGTCTTCTAGTTTCTCGTTATCGCCCAAAATAAACAAGACATGATTTTCATCAGTTTCACCACCAAATTCCAAGCCGGTTTCTTCCGCTAATGCACTTAGTTTACAAAGATCATTTCCACAAGCCTTTGACTTGCTTAAACCCGATCGTTTTAAACCACTTTCTTCATTTTTATGTACTATTTCCATTTGGTTATTTTGTAAATGTGGTTTTTGTATGAAATTATTATTTGTCTCATTTGCAATAGTTTCTTCATTGAAATTTGTGAGCGTAGAGAGGCTGAAGCTACTGGTTTTTGTTCGACTCAAACTTTTTGGCTTCGACACTGTGTCGCGCTCTACATTATTACAGGTAATACTATTAAATATATCATTTACGATCCTGTTTTCTGCTTCAACGTTACTACGTTCTACGTATCTTCTTTGTACTTTAAAATATCGCAGAAAATATAATAGAAAGTCCAATACTTTCTTAACTAGTTCGTCATCTTTCAAACCGTATATTACAGTTTTTGATGTTTTTGTTAAGTATCCAGTGGCTCCAAATAGGTTGGTAAGTTGAATCCAAATGGCATGATATGAATCATCTAATGAAATTTCTTCAATTGGATGGCATGCGGCTATCCAGCCGGTGTGGTGAGTGAGTATTGCTGTCAAAAGTGTACTCATAAAACTGAAAATATAAAATAAAATAGTTAATTTATGACCAACGTAAGGATCTGTTTTGATATTTTGAGAACGATTTCCAAAGTTTAAATCGAAACTTCAAACAAACTTATTTTAAAGTAAAATTGTGGCTTATTCCCAACAAAAATAGTAAATTGCGTATCAACCTAAGGACTTCTTACAAGATATAATAACAATAGAAATACGCCAGGACAGTATTTTATTCTCTCTTCTATTTAATGTTTGTGTAGAGGAAATATTCCAGATAGCGATACAAAATCAAACAGAAGAAATAAAAATAAATGGAACACACGTAAACAACATTATGCCGATGACACTGTCTATTTGTAGATAAGTTGGAGGATTTGCAACAACTCTTTAATGATGTTGACAGAATATTGAAAAAAATTGACTTTATCATCAATATTGACAAAACAAAATTCATGGTCATTACTAGACAACATAATCAAATTTGGTGGACAATAAACCATTATAAAGAGTTGATAAGTTTAAATACCTTCATTGCACTATTACTGATAAACTGGATGGTGATATAGAAATAAAAAATTAAAAAATCTATGGTAAGGTAGGTAATGATCCTACCGCAGGGAAATTTTGCTATCCTTACAACTACTCATGGTAAAATGCTATATATAATCCATAATATCATACGGAGCTGATCTATGGCCCCTTCAATTAGAAGCAACTAATCCCATAGAAGTATTTGTAATGTATTCTTTTCGTAGCCTATTGCATATCTCATGGTTTGTTCATGTGCTAAACGAGGATGCGTTAAGAAGAGCTAGAACCGAGAGTGATTTGTTACAAACTATTAAACAAAGAAAAATTTTCTACTTAGGACGTTTAATGAGAGGTTATAAGTATGAGATCTTGAAACTGATTTTAACGGACAAAATTGAAGGACGAAGAAGTCCAGGAAGAAGGTAAGATGTAAGATAATTTTTACGCTTGCCAGAGTGATAATTACAAATAGATGGTGGATGAACGTCTACTCACTGGAAGAGTAGAACATTTATAGAATATAATATTACTAGATTCTCCTTTTTTACAAGAGAGTGAATTGTTACAAACTATTACCTAAACAATGAAAAGTTTTCTATTTGGGACGTTTAACGATAGGTCATAAGTATGAGTTCTTGAGATCGATTTTAATGGATAAACTAGGAGCAAAAAGCGGTTCAGGAACAATTTGGTGTTTTGGGAAGAGTTTGGAAATTTGATGGATGAAAGTATACACGCTGGATGTGTATGACACTTAAAGAAAAAGGAGTTTTAAAAAATTTATGGAATATAATAATACTATATTCTCCTTTTTTACAATACCATACTTTGACATTAAAATTTTCCCTCAAAATATTAATTTCTTATTACTTTGTGTATGCTTTGGTCTTTAAAAATGCAGACACCAGTTTTTATTTAATTTTCTTTCTCGTGATAAAGCCATAGATTATTAGCATTTTTCTTAGCATACCAAGCACCATTTTTTGTGAAGTACATAACGTACCTAATTTACAGTCCTTTGATGTTTCTTTCTTTAGCCAGATTTCAATTGTGGATGTGTTTCAAGAAGTGGCCACCGTTGTTTTGAAACAGTTAAACAGTTTAATTCCGGGTATGGTGGCAAAAAGTACAGCAAAAAGTACTATTCTTATAATCAGCAAGATGCAAATACGTGTTTGCATTGAAACCATGGGAACTATCAAAAACCTGAGCAACGAAATAGTTAGATCAAAACATAGTAACATCACAAATGAGATCAGGTATACCGAATCGATTATAAGTTTTGACAGTATGATGTCCGGATTTATACTTAACTACCATTCCAAGTAGACATCTGTCATAAGGAGGATACACAACCTAGACAGAGGAAAGATACAATCTAGTCTGCTTATTTATATCTGGTATACAGCGGAGTCTAAAATTCTAGAAGGCTTGGATGGAGGAATATTTAATAGTAATGTAAATTTAATACATTTCTATTCCAATAAAACAGTATGCCTTTGTATTTCAGGTAGATTTTATTTGAACCTATTCTCTATCCTTCCATTGTTGGATATAGGTCTCCCCCAGTTCTCTCCTAACTTTCCATATCTTGAGCTGTTCCGATGGCATTGTTCCATCGTCCGTCTTGGAGACGTTAATTGTGTCCAGCCCATTTCCACTTCAGTTTTGCTGCTTGTTCTATCGCGTCTACTGTCTTTGTTCTGGTTCTGATACAATGGCTACGTTTTCTATCTTTAAGTGATATACCCTTCAGGTAGATATTTAAGTAATATTGAGCGGCAACGAACATAATTGAAATAAAATGAATACATGTGTAAATAGTCAAGTGACCATGTAGCTCTTGAGATCTTAAGGTGCACTCTGGGCTAGTGAAAAAATGCCAAGAAGAATCCAACAAACTAGCTAAACATAACAGAGCTACACTGGTATAGGTTCTATATTACCGGAAAGTACACAGCAATAAAAGAGTTGATGAAATGTCAAGAAGATGATCTACCTAGTATTTTGGTCCAGATCCTGTGATCCAAACACAACATACTACGAATTATAACACGAACTGCTTCGCATTAGATTACAAGCAGCAAACACTTTTTGAGGCAAACAAGTGACTTTAAAAATATATAATACCTATCCGCTAGCAATCTTCTAAACTTGTTAGATATTAAAACATTTTTAATAACTGTGTGCATTGCTGCTTTGTAATTATGTAGTTCAGTGTTTTTCTATGTTTAAGTCTTTATCGATTTGTGTTTCGTCGATTTGCCGTTTACTAATTTATTGGTTAAAGATCAATTGAACATGGTGTTCTCGCAAATTAAAATTGGTATCTGGCATAAGATAATTAAAATGCATTGCATATAGCTCGAAAATGGCACCTATTGTTTTCTGTTTATAGCTTAGATGTGATATGCTGCGCCCTCGAAGACCATTTTTTATGAATGGGGAGCCGTTAGTATAAATATCCACTGATTCTGTTATAATACAAGAGTGTTTTATTCTACAGTTGGTCTTAAATATACAAGTCTAGTTTTCTGCGCTCACTAACTTCATTATACATATAGGACTGGGTGCGGACTGTTACGCCCCAGAATTTTACATAACGAAGCCAATTGGTATTACAAATAGCGCCCTTATACTTAGGGATGTAAGGGATAGTAATGCGCAACGTATAGCCTCTCCTATACAAATGTCAACCTCACCTGCCTGCATGATGATCTTGATTATGGTCATCCGGTGCATCCTGCTAGATAACAAATGAGCCTCTGACATCTGAGTGATTGCCGGTATAAGCAATCCCACACTTACTGACCAACGGCTTAGGGCGGATGAGTTGGTGAGTGGTAGGGAATTATTTTGTCCTGGGATTGAGAAATCGGCCCCGAAGACGGATGAATAAACAAATAATGGTCAACTGCATAAGAATACAGAAGGCAAAGGGGAACCACTGCATTAACAACTCATAGAGCACCCCCAGAAAAAATCACCATAGAATTGACACTACAATTGCAAACCGTTACTAATCATGGAAAACGGAGGCCACGATTCGGCAGGAGAGGAGAAACATATTTATACCACGAGGCCTCTCAGGTCGTAAACATGCCAAAACCTCGTAAATAAATCCGAAAAATCAAGAAATCTAATTTTAGAATGTGCACGTGAAATGTTAGAAGTCTATTTGCGGCTGGGAAACTTGACAACGCAATTCAAGAAATGAAAAGAATGAAAATAGACCTACTGAGAATCAACGAAATGAGATAGGCAGAGTCAGGATCATGTAAAAAGGACGGAAGTGTATTATATTATTCCGGTAAGAACCAGAATTCCAGAACTGAGTAAATATGTGACCAATTTCGTACCAGTCTCGGATAGAATAATATTACTCCAAATAAATACTCAACCATTTAAAACTAACACATACTTCAAATCTATGCCCCGACTACAGATAGAAAATATGACGATGAAGTCGAGAAGTTGTATGATCAGATTCAAGATATCTTACAGAAACTTAATAAACACGAAATTTTATATATTATAGCCGACTTTAATGCAAAAATTGGGGAAGATTGACGAGGTCAGACTGTAGGTCTTTATGGTCTAGGATAACCTAACGATCGAGGACAGAGATTGTATGAATTTTGTAAAGAAAACGATATGATTATTGCAAACACCTGGTATAAACTACCCAAGCGACGATTATACACTTGGAAATCTCCATTTGATGATGGCAATAACCCTGAGTCTTCAAGAAATCAAATAGACTATATACTTGTAAATGAGCGTTTCCGAAATGCCGTCAAAAAAGTCACTACATATCCTGGGGCAGATATTGGATCTGATCATCAACCACTTGTAGCAGATATTAAACTAAGGTTAAAACGAATTCAGCGACAAAAACCAAAAACCCATTAACTTTGACGATATAAACATAAAACATAACATTAAAAAAGAATTTTACAGTAGAATAAAAAACATCGGAGAACAACTAGAAGATCCAGAAGAACTATGAAGTGAATTTAAAACCAAAGTTAACAAAATCTCCACAAACAATGATTATAGAAAAAACTTAATCAAGAAAAATAAATGGATGACAGACGAAATTTTGAAATTAATTGAACAACGTCGACTGATAAAATCTAATGTACCAGAATATAGATACCTACAGAGAATAACAAAAAATGAGATCAAATTAGCCAAAAGAAAAATGGATGAGAGGAAGGTGCGACAAAATGGAGGATGTAATACCTAAACATGATTTATTTAATGTGCTCAAAAAACTAAAAGAAATGAGTAACAAATTTAAAAAACAAGTTCCCTCTGTACTCGTTGACAATAATAACAAAATTATTGTAAATGAGAATAAAAGAAGAATGTCAGCTGTATATATCAGAGTTGTATGAAGATGACAGAAATAATATTGCCGAATTCTACCAAAACTGTACTGACGACGGCCCAGAAATTAGGAAATGCGAGGTAGAACACGCTATAAATAATGGTAAAATTAGAAAAGCTTGTGGTTCAGATGATACACCAATTGAGTTGCTGAAACTAATAGAGAATGATAACATAAAAGTAGCAGTAAGACTTTTTAATTCAATATGTAACACCGGAGTGATTCCCACAGATTGGTTCAAATCCATCTTTGTCGCAATACCTAAAAAACACAATTCGAGAAAATTCTCAGAATATGGATTAATTAGTCTAATAAGCCACACTGTTAAAATTTTCCTCATAATACTTCACAACAGAAATAGACGTAAATACGAAGAAGATATTGAAGATACCCAATTAGGTTTTAGAAATGCTATGGGAACCAGGGAGGCACTTTTTAAGCTTAACATTCTATTACAAAAATGCCGTGACAAAAGAAAAAATGTATTTGCATGTTTTGTGGACTTCGAAAAGACATTCGATAAAGTACAGCATGTAAAATTAATGCCAATACTGAAAAATATCGGAATAGATGACAAGGATATTCGTGTCATTATAAATTTTTACTGGAATTATCGTAAAAATTGGAGCTAACTACACCGATGAAATCTCTATATAACAAGGAGTCAGACAAGTTTGCATATTGTCGTCAACATTGTTCAATGTTTACTCGGACCAATTATTTAAAAAGTCACAAAAAAACTTATTGAAGTTTGGCCATTTAATAGAAAAATCTGCTTCCAAACATTGTAAATGGATACGATTTTTGAATATGATATCATTTATTCAAACTGTGGACACAACTTTTGACGAACATAAACCTATTATGCAATTGTTTAGCAAATTTTACCTAAAATATATAAACATAGCTAAATATTTAATAACTTACAATTTAGTTTCTTTGGTTTCCAGTTTTTCCAACACCTGACAAAAATTTTCAAATCTTTCTTCTCTAACGTTACTCTTAAATATATTGCTTGGAAACGTAAGTTTACTGAGACTGTTTCTTAAACTGACAGCAAAGTTCAAGTAAAATTTACTTTGAGGTTCATTCCCTGGTTTGATCCAAAAATTTAGTTCGTGCGATAACCATTTAGCGCTGAGAAGAGATATTTCAAGCATAGTTGATAAAAATAGTCGTGGAGAGTTGAGAGCTATTTCAACGTATTGGCGAACACGCCATAGTATGGATTCGATCAATGGTATATGTTGTAGATACATGTTGTCTTCATTACTGTAAAATGAAAGGTTAGTATTTTAACCGACGTGTTGTATTTTTAGTTAAACAAATCTTATAATAATTAAAAGAAATTATCTATAAATAATGAGTTTAATAAGTCATTTCTAAACTAAATATCCAACATTTTAACGCTAAAGTAAGCAATGGGCATCGTTAGATACTGTTAGAGAAAACTAACTAAGGGATATATGACATACTAAATTAACACAGGGACATACGAGTAAAATTATGCCAGAAAAAAACATAACAATCTCAACTAAAAGGTTAAAACTACTCTTCAGACGATTTTATACCTGAAAATCTCTATATAACTAATCATCTTTATTCTGGTTTTACAACCCCGCGTGGGTCCTAGTTTCCACAAAAATGTCTCTCCAGTCGACTCTTTTTTTTTACATTTTTACAGAAAAGGAAAATCTGCATTCAGATACCTGTGACCCACCCAGGTAGTGTTGGGTTCCTAATACTCTAACGAAGTTGTGTCAGGACGAGATGCCCGAGGAAGTTAGACACTTTGTCCAGTCACTACTCCGAGACTGTTGGTGTCCAACTAAAACCTCTCATCTGTCACTCCACACATCAGGATGGAAGGACTGGTGAAGCCAAAACATCTCTCTGATGACCTGTTATCACCCGATTCCCATTATTTCTCCCACACATTTATCGGGAAAACCACGCACACACAAAGCACTAAAGACTTTCAACCTCCTGCCTTAGCGAGGCTGCTATCTCTCCCGCGTCATCTGTCTCTCATTCGCTCCTATTTCGACCTGCGACAGTCCGAATCCCACCGAGGTGCTACTCACTCGTTTTAAAATTCTGTTGCGAGTTCTCTCTCCTTTCGTTCTTTTGAAGAGAGCAGTTATCTGATAAATTTGTGGATTTGTGTCCACCACTACTCATCCCTCATCATTTTCTACACCATTTCTCTCACGGAATCAAACATTCTCTAGTTACTCTCTTTTATCCACCCAACGCTCACACTCCAACATCGTATATGTCACAGTATCCGAGAGACCACAGTAAAGAAATTGATCGGACTGAGCCCTCCCAAACTAAAAAAGTAGCTGCGGAAGCAGCCATGGCCTGTGAGCATTTGCGTCAGATAATAATACAGTTATGCCTATGGCCACAGTTCACTTAGCGTCAAAGGTTCGGGATTAGTGACTTCTTCCACTCCGCCACACCACGTGTTGCCTTCCACTCTTGCTGCCACTAATCGACTGAAACTAATCTCTCGGCCAGTGTTATCTCAGTCATCTCTCGCTCTCAAATGATCCGCTCCCTACGACTATGAATCCTGGCCCTTTCACCTACCAGCACATCTGATTACCCACAGAGCGGCAGCTGAAAAACTCCTGTGAACACATGATACCCACAGCAGACTAGTTCTGTCGATGCGTACCATGAGCCTCTTGTAAGTTGGTATTTCTACCGCCTCACTTCAGACTATGACCGCGTAGAGGACGACAGAATGCACAACACCTTGAGCGCACTTCTCCTTTCGGATTTACGTTCACCAATATTGGGCATTATCCTCTTCAGCGCAGCTATTCTCTAAATTTCTCTGCGGCTCACCCCTTCAAATGTTCCACCCAACTCCCACCCTGGTGGAGAGTAACTCCCAGATACTTGACGTACTTTTTGGGCGTCACTTGCGCTCCTGAGCCTCAAATACAATACTGTATCTTTTTCTATGACTTCTGAGTACTACAGCCTCCGTCTTATCCTCCGCAAGAGACAGATTTTATTTAGACAAATTGGACTGATCCTTCAAATTAATCTCAAAGTAATTATGCGTGTTCTTATAACAATCAAAAATACCTAACTACTCGATGATTTTAATAAAAACAGCTCCAAAAAAACTGTAGAGAACAATGAAAGTACTAATAAAAAAGCTCATATTGCCTAAGAAGTGATCTCAGCTTGCTAAGTGCAATGATGCATGATGAAATAGAGCACAGACGAATTTGCTTAGCAAAATGTTATTAGGCTCTTACTCGACATGGCGTGTATATAATATTTAAACTTACTTGTCTACTATAGGCTTGGGTACTATTAAAGCTAATCCCAGTTTCGAGTAGCTCACGTTCATTCTAAAATTTCTAGCTGAATCTGAATCGCTGAGGAACGATCCAAATGTATCTAACGATGTACAAGAGGTAGTGCTTCTTCCTTAAAAAAATTATTATTTTTTCATTCGACCATTAAGTATTAGTTATTACTTACTTGTTGACAAGCCTCCAGAGTACTGAGTAAATGATGAGTTTCTGGAAAGGCTGGATTCTGAGAATCCTGAATCAATTGTTGTGCTTGTGGCACTTGGAGATACCCAGTTAGCGTTTCTTATCACTAAAAAACATTTGTGAACACATTAAAAATTGAATTAGTTCTATAGAATTACTAAACAAATATTAAATTATAAACCAAAAAGAAGAAGATGTGTAGGACGTCCGGTGAAAAGATGTAACGAAGTTACCGAAGATATACAAACGAAAAAATCGGAACTGTTTTGCATAATACCTAGCTTATTGCATGGTACTATTTGTTACTTTCGTTTTACTCTCACTTTTGTAAACATCAACTAGCTGTTCTTCTGGGAGAGTCAGCATCATTTTAAAATAACCAATACAAGTTTTTCACGATAATAGGCACTTGGCTTCTAAAGTCTTAAATAGTTTTCTCCACTTTTTACGGTCCTTAACTTGTACTTTTCAGTCCCTTGTTCTCATTTTTTCTATGTCAATCCAAACGGTCTTAAACCACTTAAGACCGTCTCCATTAACCATTATCAATTAACCTCCTTTATCCCACCAAAAACTTTTCACTTCTAAGGATTTTTCGCTTCCAAGTCACTTTTTCACTTCTTTTTGATTCATTGTCCAACTGGCTTTAAATATTTTAAAGATAAAAGAAAATTATTTAGATTCCCTATGTCTCTAATAACATCTTTATCCACGTCTGTTTTGCCTTGCAATTCTTAGAAGGCACAGATTAAAGCAAAAATCTGAATTTGGTTTTAAAAATTAGTTTACGGATTTTAATATGAGAAGCCGCTATTTGCGTCAATTCGAAGCCATATTAGAGTTGCTTCCTAAGACAGAAGAGATTTATTTTCACGTTTAGAGCGACTGTGAATTGCCGTTCTGACGAGGCCTATCAGGCCGAAATACGTATAAGCGGCTTCATAGGCGCAATACGTGAAATTAAATCTTAAGTGTATTTTCCTTATAAAAGAAAATGTTTAATTATGTAAAAAATACTTACACGAGAATGAATCAGAATTTGAACCAAACGATGGATCAGATCCAGAACTAGCAAAAGAATTGCAAGATTCTAGAAGCGAATTGTTGGAAAAATGTTTAGTTGAGTTATTTAACGAAGATTTACTGTTGGATAATTTCTTCACAAGAGGTGTAGAAAATACCTAAAATATATATCAATTTTAGAGTAACCAAAATGAATATAAATTATTGAAAAATGTCTAAGAAACATACATTTTTTTTCGTATGTTTAACAATTTTAATTGCATTTTAAAAAGTGATTATCGGTCCTTGTCAAAACTTTATCATGTATAAGATAAGCAGTCCAACTAAATGCGCAATATATATTATATCAAAATTTGCAATGAAGGTTTACATAAACATATACACTTCCTCTGTCAAACTCACCTAAAATGAATATAAAAAATAGAAGAGACATGGAAACCTTAGTAATAAGTTTTGACAGAAATAAAAAGTAAATCAAATTTAATGTCATTATGTTAATGACATAATGACTAAATGTAAAATTTTGCTAATTTTAAAAGACAATTCTCACAAGGGTAAGATAATTGAAGACATAAGAACTTCATTTTTCTAATGTAAATTTTTTATGTTAATTTTTAGTATGTTTTGAAAAAGAGTAAAATAAACTCGAAAGCTTAGCAAACCTAAAAGAGTTTTACTTAAAGGCCAATATATTGACTACTAAACCCAATATATCCGTATATATATATATATATATATATATATATATATATATATATATATATATATATATATATATATTGTTATGATATGTAAAATCGAGAAAAATATTGATTTGATTAAAATATTTCAAAGTTCAAAAAACATTAAAATAAGTCAGATAAGTAGGATAATAACCAACAAACATTTCGAAGAAGGAAAGTTTTTACATTTTTGGATTACCTGTGTTAAACAAAATGTAAGCTATGCATAAATTATTTCCTTTGTTATACTATACTTGAGTGACCTGCATAATTTTAAGTGAAATCCAAAGACAATTGAACCGGGTTTTTTCCAAATACATTAAGGCAGTCATTAAGGACAATAGAATAGATTTTAGAAAGAGGTTTTTGTTAGTTTTTAAGAATTGTAGAAAAATATTATTTGTAAATAAGTTTTAGGAAATTTTTATAATTATAGGTAAAAATTTGTTTGTTGTCGAAATGAAAAAATGGGGGAATTGTGACGAGCTTTGATTGGCGGAGATTGAAAAAGGTGGGATAGATATGTAGGAATGAAAGTTTAGCTAGATTTTGGAGTGGAAAAAGATAGTCAGTTGGTTTTCCACGTCTGTAAGACGAACAGTGATTGCTCTCTGGCGGTTCCCGAGAAGTAGCAAGCAGTAGTGTTGAATGTTAGTGAGTTTTTGTGGAGTTAGTGTATCTGACAGAAGCTGAAGCAGCAAAATATTGTAAGTCATATTTTTCTACTTATATTCCAAGAGTCACTGTTCAGGCTAACGAGAGATTCAGTTTATCGTAAAGAGAAGATATTCCAAGAGTCATTTTTCACTCGGGCCAACGAGAGATTCAGTTTATCGAGAGGAGAAAGGCTATCATAATTTGAATGATTTGTGCTTTTGAAGTAGATCATTAAGGACGATATACTTGCAAAAATTTGTTGTAAGATTGCTGATAACATAGGGAGCGGTTGAGAGGAGATAATATAGTCTACAAGGAACAAGGATTTGGACCACTCATCATCAGAGAGAGATATTTTTGTTTTCTGCAGTTTTTTTTATTGATAACACAATTTTTACACTTAATTTAGAAAGGATATAAATATTTTGATTAGGAGAGTTAGAATAATTTGGGATTTTGAGATTTCAATTAATATTGTTTGTACCATTAATTTTGAAGGTTCACGTACGGAGAACAAAATTTTGAGAATCATTATATGAGATTTTGTTAATTGAAAACATTTGAGTGTGAATTATTTCATTATTTTTATTTCAATATATAGTGTTATATCATATGTGTTTTTTATTATTCCGGTATTCTCTGGACCTTACCTTTCACATGTAATAGCATAGATATTGAAGCACGAATTTAACCCTGAGATAAGAGAATTAAAAAGTGTGATAGAATCATAATCATATCATTTAAATAATTTTTATTAATTAATTAATTAATTATCTAATTAATTGCTTGGCGCACCTAGACTTTAAATATCACAATAACTGGCTTCCAAAACGTGGGGCTGGAAAATATCGCAACTTTACATTTGAAGGAAGAGAAAGAGATCTGGAATAAGTACAGGTGATCCAGAGATAAAACATATAACATTGAAGGACTTTGAATTTGAAAGTATTTTGACAATATTTTACAGGGAATATAAATTTGATTTATTGATTGATCGTAGTTAGTTGATAGTTACTTCTATTGAATTATTTGATTTTTATGTCACCAATCGTACATTTGATATTTATTTTGAATTATTTGAATTTTACTGATTGCATATTTGATATTTGTCGTGAAAATTTATTACAATTGGGGAGAAATATTGTCGTGTCCTGCAACGTATAGAGTGGTGTAAAATTTACATTTGGCGGGGACAAAAACAATAACGAAAAGAAAAAACATGTCGACCACAAGGAGTCAAAGCAAAATGCAAGAAAGGAAGGAGGATAACAGAGAAGAGGAAACAATTGTAGAAGAAGGATCGTATAATGAAGGAAATGTTACAATAGTTGAGGAGAGAAAAGAATCATCAGGAATAGATCAAATAATAAAACTAATGCAACTCCAGTCACTAAAAATGGACGAAAATAACCACAGACTGGAAGAAAACCAGAAGGAAACTAAACAGGCAATAGAAGAAACAAAACAAACAATGAAAGAAAACCAACGGGAAACAAGACAAGCAATAGAACTAAATAACAGGAATATAGAGCAGCGCTTGGAAAACTATGAACAGAAATTAGAAGAAAATGATAGAAAAATGGAAAAGCGTTTGGACAAATATGAAAATGATGTAAAAGTCTGTTTAGAAAAAGTAAGAGAAGAAACAGAAAAGAGACTAGAGATGCAGAGAAAAGAAATAGAAACTAAAATGAAAGATATTAAGACTGTGTAAGAAAAAGGAATTAGAAAAATTAGAAACAAAATTTGAAAACGCGTTACAAGAAGACATAAGAGAAATAGAAAGAAAAATGGAGGAAATCAAAAAGGAACAAAATTCCGGGGAAAGAAGGGAAATGTTTATCCAGGGAACAAGCGAGCTAAAAATACAATTTGGCGGGGATATTAGAAAAACACACCCAGTACCGTTTGTTAAAAATTTGAAAACCAAATTGCAACATATTAGATATTTTGACGATTGCAAAGAAACTATTAGAAACCATCTGAAAGAAGGAGCAGCGTCATGGTATGAAAGTAAAGAAGATGAGTTTGAAAATTGGACAGATTTCGAGAATAAATTTCTCAACTATTTCTGGGGGAAAAATAAACAGAGAGAAATCAATCAAGAGCTACAGAATGGAAAATATCACGAAAAAATGGGAATATCTGAAGAAAGATATGCTTTGCAGATATATAACAACTCAAAATACCTGGAATACAAATATTCTACCGAACAACTGGTAGAAATGATCAGCAGACATTTTGAGGAAACGTTGGAAGATCACGTGATTTTGAAAAACTATCAAGATATTGATAGTTTGTGCCAATTCCTTCAATTAAAAGAAGCGAAAAGAAGAGAAATGAGAAATAGAAGACAACATGACCAATATAATGGACCGGAAAGAAGGTATTCATCAAATTATGACCAGAGAAACCGACATCCCAGATCAACAAACGAATATAGGCCGAGAAATTACAATAATTACAATAGACAACAAAATTACGATAACCGGAATGATACACAAAATAGAACAAATGAAAATCACAACAGGAATAGAGATGCACAAAATCCTCCGAATAGGAATACGAACGAACAAAGGGACGATAGAAATAATCAGAGATTCCAACGACAAAACAGAAGAGAGATGAACCATGTAGCAATAGAAAAGGAGGAAGAAGAGGTATTCAATGAATCCAGACAGGATTTTCAATAAGGCATCCACTAAACAAAAGTAAAAAACTCTCCGGTATATTTTGTCAACCGAGAGAGTTTATACAGTTGGCGGGAAACGAAAAACAAAATTCTAATTCCAATCTAATTTTTTTAGATGCATTTATAAAACATAAAGCGATTAAAATTCTGATTGATTCTGGATCGGAAATTTCGTTAATTAATAAAAAACTAGTAAAAGAATTAAATATGGACAGATTTGTGTATAAGATTCCGAGGGTTGTTTAGTGGGTGCAAATAATAAAAAATTGACGACAGTAAACGAAGGTTTAGGAGTACGGATCAGAGTGGGAGACCAATTCTATATTATGCAATGTGTGGTGATCGAAGATCTAAATCATGATATGATAGCGGGAATTGATGAATTGAGTGAAAAACATATCACCATCAATTTTTCGGAAAATCAACTGGAAATCAGAGCAGAACCAGACAACATAGAAGAAGAAAAGGAAACAGATAGGAGAAAATTTTCTGAAAGGATAAATGGACAAGAAAAACATAAAGAAATCAATATGACGGTAGAGGATAAATCGAAAGCTCAAGAAAAAAATCAATCCGACGAGGAAAAGAGAATAAAAAAAAAGAAGAAGAGTTCGAAAAGAAAGCAGGAAGAAAAGGAAGTTATAAGCAGAAAAATGGAAGGAGCCGAAACATGGTGCTCGGAATACCAGATAGAAATTAAAGATAAAGAAAAGATAGAAGCAGAAATAACGGAAGAGGACAGAGAAGAAATGGCAATTATGGACGAGAATCCAGAATTTTGTGAAGAAGTAATATGGACAGTAAACACATGTGAACAAACTGAGGATGAAAGAAAAATAAAATGTGGAGAAAACATGGAGAAGGAAATAGAGAAGATTTTAGAAAATTATGGAGATCTTATTAATGAAGAAAGCCGAGTGGCTAAAAATTATGAACATTCTTTTAAAGTTAAAAACTTAGAAAATTTTAAATCGAAAACATATCCAATCCCGTATAAATACAGGCAGAGCGTCGGACAGGAAATTGAAAATATGATCAAAGACAAGGTGATCGAAAGATGTGACTCTCCATATATCAACCCGATAGT